GCTCAGATGATTCTACTGCCTCAGCCTCCAGAGTAGCTGGGACTACAGGCAGGCACCATCATGTCCAGCTAATTTTTGTATTTTTAGTAGGGACGGGGTTTCACCACGTTGCCCAGGCTGGTCTTGAACTCCTGACCTCAAGTGATCCACCCACCTCGGCCTCCCAAAGTATTGGGATTACAGGTGTGAGCCACCACACTGGGCCTTCTGAGATCTTTTAAAGATATATCTATATTGATTCATAATAGCAACCTGGTACAGTATGTGGTTGGTATTGCTCTATGTACCTTATATGTAATAATGAATTTAGTCCTCTTAAGAATCCCACAAGGTGTTTACTAGTTTTATTTTATTTTCATTTTATAGATGGGGAAATTGAGGCAGAGGTTAAATTACATGACCCCAGATCACATGGTTAGTAAGTGGCAGAGCCAGGATTTGGACCTTGGCAATTTGGCAGTCAAAACTGTGCTTTTAATTATTACATGACACTGCCTCTTGCTAGTAATCTATTAACTTTAATAGATTAGTGTATTTATAGATTCAAATTATTCTGACTTGTAAGTTCAATTTATCACAATGAGCTGCTGGGAGATTAATTACAGTGATTTAATGCAAATGTTAAGAATCCAGGAAAGTCAAACTCATGGTCACACAGAAAGTACAGGAAAAAAGTTTGTCAGCCATTAGACCCTAAGGATGCTTGTTATTTTCAAGACTGACTTCCTTCCTTCCTTCCTTCCTTCCTTCCTTCCTTCCTTCCTTCCTGAAATGCCCACTAAGTCTGCCAGACGGTCAGAAATCAATTTTCTTACCTGTTTTATAGTTTCTGCATCTAGCCTGGTGCCTGGTACCCAGTGGGCACTCAATAAACATTTAACCCAGGGCAGATCCAATGACCTCAGAAGAATGCTCGTCAATAGACCTATTGCCTACACTGATTAGTTCTTTTCGGTACTTTTTAAGATGACACGAGTAAAACCTTAATAAATTCTCATTGTTAAGGATTCAAAACATATACGTAGACATATCAAAACTTGAAAATCCTGTTACTCACCAACACATACTTTTCCCCAGGTAACCACTGTCTTGTGATTTGTCTTCCTATGAATTTGTATACATATATGCACATACGCGTTTGTATAACTTAAAAACATAAATGTAATCACAAATACACATTGCTCTGCAACTGTCTTGTCTTGTGTCGGTTTTTCATGCCATTATAAATATATTTCATCTATTTTAGCAGCTCTTCAGTGATCTGCAGTATGGATGTATTAAGCTTTATGTAATTCACTTGTAATGGACATTTAGATAGTTTCCTATTAAAAACCACGTTGCTTTAAACATTCTTGTGCAAATACATGTGTGCATGTAGAATTTTACACCCATCCCGATTCTCCAAAAATCCAAGTAGCAGGTGGGATCATTTTAGAATGCACTTCAATAGCGTTCTTCAACCTTCCTCGCGTTTTTAAAAGGACTGAGTGGAGAGCGGGGGAGAGGTCGTAAGATCCCCTGTTAGGGTGTTCGTAAAGTAACTCCTCTCGCACAGCCGTCTTGAAAAAGCAATCCGCACACAATGTGCGGGAGAGCTGTAGGAACTCCTACGGTGGCGACAGGGAGGGAAACAGGCTTGTTGGAAGAAGCGCCTGGTCAGCGTTATCCTCGAGGATCATGCCTTCCTGTTAATTCCCCACCCCATCAATTCTACCCTTTTTAGGTTAGACTGAGGAGTAAGTTTCCCAGGTATTAAAAATCGTCCAGAGAGAGCAGGGCGAAATTAGAGCGCCGAAGTGGCTTGAGAAGCACAGTGAACGGTGGCGAAGCCCAAGCCCGGTCGTAGTACGCCCGCGCGCACTGCGGGCGCCATGGCGGCCACCTTCGGCCACGGCGGAGGACTCGCTTTCCCAGCGGCCCCCGCGGTCGCAGGGGCAACGAGCCCGACCGGCCCTCGCGAGCGGAGGCGGGGCCGGGGCCGGAAGTCACGTGCTGTGACAGTAGCTGGGGTGAGGCCGTCGTCGCCGCACGGGCGTTTTGGGGCTGTGTCTGTGGGAGGCGCCGGGGTGATGGCGGTGGAGACTCTGTCCCCGGACTGGGAGTTTGACCGCGTTGACGACGGCTCGCAGAGTAAGGGAGCGGCAGGGCGAGGGCTGCGGGTGGACGCTCCTCCGGCCCGCCGCTGTCCTGGGCAGCGCTCTGCGAGAGGGACGGCTGCACAGCCGTCTGGTGCGGGACACTTCAGAGCCCTTGGGGTGTGCGAGGAACGCGCTCCAGCGTTACTTTCGGGGTTGGGGTCCCAACCACGGGTCAGGCTGCCCGCTCAGGGCTCGGCGTAGGAGGCGGGGGCTCTCTTGGGGAGCCTGCGGTGCCCCGCGGGAAACGGCGTCCGCCTTCAGCTGCCCCGGGGCTTGGGCGGGGCGCGCCAGGGAGGCCCAGCGGCCCCGGCCAGGCTGCTTCTGTCTCTGGCCTCTTGGGGATTTCGCCAGATTCTCAGCGTTCAGCTCTGGAGGACGCTGATGTCTGGGTTCCTGTTTCGGTTTCCTGTTTTTCTTCTTTTCCTCCCAAATCAACTTTTGCAAGTTTAGGTGTCTTTCCTATAGCGTTGTTATAACCGTAGAAGAGAGCGAAAAAAGAACTTTTCACCCCGCGAAAATAAACACGTGAATATCATTTTATCCTTTTCCAGGCCTTTTATATTATGCTAAGTGGTATTTTTCAGTGATGTTCTGTACTTTCCATCACAGCTATAAAGGCTTCAAAAATTACAGCAAATCTTCACATTTTGTTTCACAAGATCAAATTGTCTGATTTTAACTTAGAAGTCCGTCCCGAAATAAATTCTGTTTTCTTTCAGTAAAATATTGAGGCCACATTAATTGTAGTGAAACTCTGCTTGAAGTAAATACAAGTTGGCAATCTGCTTTTTATCTTTGGTGATAGTAATCTGTGTAAGTGATCTAAGATACCAGAGCATGCTGTTTGTGATTTTTTTTTTCCTCATAGTTTTTCCAAAAGGTGGAACGTCGCTTTTAAAGATTATAGATGAATTTTGCTTGATTTTACAAAGAGAGACTAATGCCTGCAAAGTTAGATGAATTAGGTTTTACAAGTCTCTCAGAGAAGAGTGAGCTACACCAGGATGGGTTGCAGTTTTTCACAAAACATTCTTGAGGTCAGGAGTTCAAGACGAGCCTGGCTAACGGGGTTCCCGTCTCTACTAAAAATACAATAGCCGGGCGTGGTGGCGGGCGCCTGTAATTCCAGCTACTTGGGAGGCTGAGGCAGCGCAATCACTTGAACCCGGGAGTCGAAGGTTGCAGTGAGCCGAGATCGCGCCATTGCACTCCAGTCTGGGTGACAGTAAGATACTAGCTCCTATGCAGCATAAAAATTAATCTTGCAGGTAATGACAAAATCTTTTTTTTTTTTTGTGGAGCGGATTCTGTATTTATTGTTATAAATTGAACTGTACCTTATCATATATGAAGTTTTATGGACAAAGGTGACGAACTGGGCTCTTCAAAAAAAATTGGAATAGAGTTATGTTAATTGGGTTTGAAAATGGTTCGGCCTGGAGTAGAATGATCTGAATCACTCAACAGATACTTTCTACAACCAGTGACTGTGCTAGATATTAGGGATACAAAGATAAAACAAGGAATGCAGTCTATTGACAAAGATGAGCATGTTAAGTAGGTTTTTGGAACTTTTACTCTTAAAAAATTACCAGGTAGTTATTAAGTTTTGTTACTTTAACTTTCACCAATTTTACAACCGTTTATTATCAGCAAGGAACTTTTAATGTTATTTTAGGTTTTCTGTTGCCTGTTTGTGGATCCCTAAATATATTAAAGGAGTGATTTATTGGCGTGGTGTTTTTCTAGCATTGTCTTTTTTTTTTTTTTTTTTTTTTTAAGAGAAGGTCTCACTCTGTCGCCCAGTGCGGTGGCATCGTCATGGCTCACTGCAGCCTCAACCTGCTGGGCTCACGTGATCTTCCTACCTCAGCCTCCCTAGTAGCTGGCTGATTTTTTCTTTTTTAATTGGGGTAGAGACAAGGTTTCGCCATGTTTCCCAGGCTGTTCTTGAATTCCTGGGCTCAAGCGACCCACCCGCCTTGGCCTCCCAAAGTGTTAGGGTGAGCCACCATGCCCGGTCTAGCATTGTCTTTAAGAACTCATTTGCTGGTCAAATGCAGCTTTGACTGGTCATTTCCCGTGTAGTTGAGAATAAGACAGCCATTTGGGGTTCTGAAAATCTAGGCAGTTTTATATGTAAGCTGTAGGGAAGAGAACACCTCCTTGTGCTTGGTTTTCATTAATTTTTGTTCTGTGAATCATATCTAGACTAATTGTTTTGCAAAATTGCCTAGATTAATGCTATAATAAGACAGAAACTTTAATGAACTAAATGGATTCACCGGATTTAGAACTTTACGTGGTTGAAGAATAAGGGAGAATGGGGGTTAGGTCTTTATACTTTAATACAGTGTGAGTCAGAACACACTTTATCTTACTTGCTTCATATTGCTAATTTGAGGAGAGCAAATTTTTACCTTTTTTAGAAGACAAAGGTTGAATGAAGTTATATCAATAAAAGAAACTGAGTTGGAGTTGAATTTGTTACCTTTGGGAACAAGTAATGAATTTTTATGTGTAACGTGAAATACTTTCATGCATTTTGACGAATAGGCATATTTTAAAATCCAGCTTGTTCCAGTGATTCCTTAAAGTTACCTATGAATGTGTTAATTCTGTGAAGAACAGCATAGTATTCTGTGGTTAAGCAGTGTTCCTTGCTGGTTTTTCATTATGACAGTTAAATAAGTTAACAGATATCTTGGTTAAATTTTAGACAGCAGGGAAATAATATGCTCAAGCAGATCTAAAACCTCCATTTAAAAATATTTAGGTGTATTATTAAACATTAGTGCATATAGAATTAAAAACTACATTTTTAAATGTTACTTCTGTGTCAGAATTTTTTTTTCACCTGCTTCAGGTCATGAATATTTGTTTTTGCACAAGGGTTTTTTGTGACTAAAAGATAGAATCAGGACATTGAGTTGTTTAGGGCACTTTTCAAATTGATTCAAAGCCCTCTATTACGGGGTAGATGGGCTGGTGACTTTTTCATAATATGTTAGGGTTTTAAGGTAGTATCTTTATATATGGTAACATTTACTGCTTTTAAAGTTATTTCACGTATAGAGAAGATTGAAAGCTGAATTATTGTTTAACTTTGAAACTTTATTTTCAGGAAGTCCAGACATTCCGGAGTAATTATTAACAATGCTTTGCGTGACTTTCGAGGTTATTTGAAGTAAATGTCCTGTAATTCATTACCTGTACTTATCACATACTGTTTTAAAATTTAAACTTAGAAATTCACGCCGAAGTCCAACTTAAGAATTATGGGAAATTTCTTGAGGAGTATACATCTCAACTGAGAAGAATTGAGGACGCTCTGGATGACTCAATTGGAGATGTTTGGGATTTCAATCTTGATCCTATAGCATTAAAGGTTTGATTTGATTTTTTTAAATATATGTATGTATTTTCTGGACATAGTATATCCTGAAAACATAATTTTTTAAAATGGAAAAAGTATTTGAAATCTAAGAACAAAATGAAAGTTGGAGAAAATTGTTGATTTCCTTTTCTCTAAGCCGTGCAGTTGGTTTTTAAATGTGTGTGTGTTTTTTTGTTTAAGAATGACACAAACACAAAGCCTTTAGTGTCAAAGAATGACACAAACTCCAAGTCTTTGAGCTTGCCTTTGATTTTCATTATCAAGATAATGATGAGGGCTGGATAGAATATTCAGCCTTTGGTTTTTCTTAATTGAGGCTATTTTACATAGAGTGAAATGCACCGATACTCTTAATTTTGCCAAACACATGTAACTCATATCCCAATTAAGACAGAATATTTTCACCATTTCTGAAAAGTTCTCTCATGCTATATTGGAGATGTTAATGTGTGAGTAATTTTTTAATGTATAAAATATGTCCATTTTGAAATATTTCTTTTATCTTTAGTTTGTTACCACTTGAAGAATAATGTACATTTTATTGAGCACTTACGTATTAGACACTGTCCTAAGTCACACACTGACTTTTTATAACAACTTTCTTGAGATATAATTCCTATATCATACAAGTCACTCATTTAAATTGTATAATTCCATTATTTTTAGTATATTCACAGAATTGTGCAACCATCACAACAGTCAATGTTAGAACATTCTCACCTCCCTGCCCCGAAAAGAAGTCGTGTACTTTGGTAGTCAACCCCCTAGTTCATGCCATGGCATACCTACCCTAGGCAACCACCAATCTGCTTTTTATCTCTATGTGTTTGTCTCCTCTGTGTACTTCATATAAATGAAATCATACAATATGTACTCCTTTGTTGCTGGCTTCTTTAACTTAATGTTTTCAAGGCTCATCTATGTTGTCACATGTTTTTAGTACTTTCTCTTTTTGCTGTTGCTGAATAATATTCCATTGTAAGGAATGGATAACCACATTTTATTTATCCATTCATCAGTTGATAGACGTTGGAGTTTTCTACTATTTGGCTATTATGAATAATGCTGCTATGAGCATTTGGGTACATGGTTTTATGTAGACATATATGTGCATTATATATAAAATGTATATATACATTATGTGTATATTTTATACATATGTATATATGGGAGTGGAAATCCTGGATTATGTGGTAACTATGTTTAACTTTTTGAGGAGCTGCCAGAATGTTTTCCAATATGGCTATACCATTTTACATTACTACCAGCACTGCATGAAGGTTCCAATTTTTCTATATCCTTGCCAGCTTTTATTGTCTTGATTATATTCTTCCTTGTGAATGTGATAGCTCATTGTGGTTTTGATTTGCATTTCTGATGGCTAATAATGTTGAACATCTTTCATGTGCTTATGGCCATGTGTCTGTTTTCTTTGGAGAAATGTGTGTTCACATCCTTTGCCCATTTTTAAATTGGGTTATCTTTTTAGTATTGCATTATAGGACAAGCATTGACTTTTAATTCCCACAACAGTCCTATAACGTAGATACAATGTCATCTTCATTTGTAAATGAGAAAACTCAGGCATAGAAAACTTAAGTAACTTAGTCGAATAAGTGACACATTTAGTTAAATGATGAATATCAGGCAGCTTGGCTCCAGAGCCTGTGCCCTTATCCAGTACCCTAAACTGCCTCACAAATACTTTATATATTTGTAAACTGAAATTACTCTCCTTTGACTTCTTTCCTGCAGGCTGGATAGACCTAGTCTTACTTTAAAAATCTTTCCCTCAAATTTGTAATTGTCTCTTTTTGTTCTTCAACACTTCTATGAGAATCCTTGTATGTGTAAGTTATAGGAACTCTATGAGGAAACTCATTCTCTACCTGTACTATCTCTGAGGGTAATAAGTTTCATACCTCTGTCACTTGCCATTAAGTAACACTTGTTGATTTTTTAAAGAGATGCTGTTGGGCTTTCTCGCCGTTAAGTAATACTTGTTGATTTTTTAAAGACTTGCTCTTGGGCTTTAAGGGCCTCTTCTAGATAGGATTATAAAATCTGTTTTTTGTCTCAACTCTCAGATTTTATAAAAGGGTGAAATCATCTCTTAGTTTTTATCTTTTTCCTACAGAAGCATTCTAGTCTTTACAATTATCTGACAGACTCCATCTCCCTAGTTGCTTTCTTTGGAACCTCTGTTTAAGTTCTATTATTGGGCAGTTGTTTTATTGTTTTTACTATACAAGGTTCTTAGTATTTTGGGAAAAGCCACAAACTCTGATAAAATATCTGTAAACAAAAATTACAACCTAATGAGAAAAGGTATGTAATAACTTACTTGCATAAATAGTTAATTGTTAGTATGTAACCAGAAGGGAGATCTAAGATTTCACTTAATAAAGAGATCACATATAGTCGATGATCAGGAAGAGGTGGAAATTGAATGGGCTTTAGGAGTGAACTCCACACAATATTTTCAGTGTTTCTGAGCGTGGATTTATACAAGAAAATACATTTTTTCTGTCTTGTTTCATTCTTAATTTATTTTGACGCTTTAGTTACAGTATCTTATTAAATTTGTGGCTGCATAGACAATTCAAAAATGATGAGAAGTTTTTCCCCATGATCATAACTAATAGAGTTTAATGATGTTACTGTTAACCTTATTACCTTGCATTTTCTTGTACTACACTCATAAGCAGCCACCTTGTGCTCCATAGGACAACTAGAGTTGTCGCAGCATGATTGTGTCATGGTGGGCCATTTCTTATGTGTTGTCTAATGAGATTGTTTTGGATGAAGTAGTTGGTATGGTGCTAATGTTGAGTACAGGATCTAACACAATTTCATTCGAATAAAGCTAGTCTCAATTTGTGTATTTAAAATTTCGGTTATTTTTCAGATTAAAAAGAAATGTTCTTTTCCTTTGTTTCTGTAGCTTTTGCCTTATGAACAGTCTTCTCTTTTGGAACTCATAAAGACTGAAAACAAGGTACAGAATCCTAAATCTAAAAAATTATTTTAAAAATGTTTTAGCTATCTGTTACAATTTACTTTTTATTTTGTTTTTACTCATGAAACTAGGTCTTAAACAAAGTCATCACTGTTTATGCTGCACTTTGTTGTGAAATCAAGAAATTAAAATATGAGGTAATTGTTTGAATTCTTGTCTTAAAACTTTAAAAACACATCATTTAGAAGCACGTATGTGTTTATATATGTACAGTGTGCAATAAATATTGAATGTTGAATGAATTATTTATTTAACATAATAGTAATACTGACTACCATTCATTGAGTACTTAGTATGTACAAAACGCCAGGCTAACACTGTAACCTTTATAGTAACCCCAGGAGGTAGGTGAGACATTGATGAGGAAACTGAGGCTTAAAGAGAGGGTTACTTGCATAACATCTTACTGGTAGTCAACAGTTTGAATCTAGGTTTACAAACCTCCAAAGTTTGTGTTACCTGCCATATATACTGGCTATCTAGAGAAAACGGATTTTTTTTTTTTTTCTTAAAACACATTTAGTTTTGTGTTTCCTTACCCAAGAACCATTAAAAGTCTGGTAGAAGTTGTCAGACTTCGTATTTTATTCTCTTGCTTTTTGATACCATGTGGTTGCTCTTTATTTCCCATGAACTAATGGGAGGATGTGGGACAGTGAGGGTGGTCAGGTAAGATGAAGTAAAGGCTAAAGGAATCAGGATATTGCTTTGAGTATCAGTAATATTTTTGTTACTCTAAAGATAAATTGAATTGCTTTATAAGCAGGTTTTGAATTTAAATGAATTTGAATTTAAATGAATTTGAATTTAAATTGAATTTAAATGAATTTGAATTTAAACGATGTAGCCCTCTGTTTATTACTAAATATACAGATCTAAGAGAACATAGGAATTTGGAAACAAAACAACCTTTAAAATTGTTTTAATTTTTTCTTAAAAACAGGCTGAAACTAAATTTTACAATGGTCTCTTGTTTTATGGAGAAGGAGGTAAGTTTAAAATTCAAAATTGTAATGTGATGCCTTTTTGATGTTGAAATGAACAAAAAGTTAACACACAATTTTAGGACTACTATGATTATATAATAATGTGAGAAAATAGTGTCATATTTTTTGTTGGTATTTTGGTAAACAGGTAAAAAATCTGATGAAGCAGCATCAAATTTGTGGTATCTTTGTACTTTATGAAGTATTATAGCTAGATGAGAATTTTCCTTGAATTCATTAAATAGTGAAGCAGATACTTCTAATTATTTGATTAATGATTGTCTCATTTTTCTGTTAGTAAAAGATGTTCTGATGAAAAAAAAAACGCTTTTCCCCCTTTTTTGGTATTGATTGAGTTTAAATTTAAAAAATGAAATGTACTTACCCGTGTTGCCTTTTACAGCTACAAATGCCAGCATGGTGGAAGGTGATTGCCAAATTCAAATGGGGAGATTTATTTCATTCTTACAGGTAACTGATTTTTATTTTCTACTGAGCTTTTACTTTGAAAAGTTTGAGTAAATTACACAACATGTAAAAAGTTCTGAAACCTTCAAATACTAAAAATGTGTACTCTGAGGATAAGACACTTAATTAGCATTGGATTATAGTTTAGGAGATCATAACTCCTAAAAGATTTCCAAATATTTTTAGAGGAAAAAGCTATCAAAATAAGTTTCTTTGTATATATTCGTTTATGGACAACTTGCCACCATGCCTTTTAAAATAATTTAAACTTTGTACCCACTGGAAAAGACAAATTGTATCCGGAAAAGTTGTTAATGGAGAGGAGAGAATTAAGCTGTTACATGAGCAATGATGAAGTTGTTTAGAGCGGTAGCCCTGGATGCTTCTCACAGCTTGTTTCAGTTTAGGTAGCTTTTCATCGCTGCCAGGTTTTAATGATTGTAGGTCCTTTGGTTTACTCTTATCAAAATAATAAAATAGCTTCTATTTCCTCCTCTCTTTATGATAAAAATAATGCATGTACAATGTGAAAAAGCAAAAATTGAAGCTAAAGAAAAAATACTCATAGTCCTACCTGCCTTCTGGTTGTTGAGTACAAGATTTGATATATTTCATCAAATTAGGCATGCTAACATACTGTTCAAATCTTTTATATCTTTACTACTTTTTTTGATCTAATTGATCTAATTGAGAGGGTTTTGTTCATATTATGATATGTGTTATTCAGGGTCCTGTCTAGAAAACTCCATGCAAAGTATTTCAAAAGATACAGTTTGGAGGATACAAAGTAGCAGATATGTAAGATGAGTAAGTCTAGAGATCTAATGTACAACATGAGGATTACAGGTAATAAAAGTACCATATATGACATTCATGCTGAGTAGATTTTAGCTGCTTTTGCCACAAAATGGGTTAGCTATGTGAGATGATGGATTTGTTCATGCACTTCACTATAGTAACCTTTTTATTATCGGTATGCATCCCATAACATGTTGTATACCTTAAATATACACAATAAAATTTATTTAAATAAGAAAAGAAGGGATTCAATATAGAGAATTGGTTACCCAGGAGCTGGAGGACAAAGAAAATAGTGAGGTAGTCCAAAGGAAATGGATACCTCCTTTACATCCAGGGAACAAAAAGGAAAAAGATTGGGATTGCCAGGATCTGGGAGCTTGGAGAAGAAGCCCCATAAAACTGATGCCCATGCCTCTGAGAAGGTGGCACTGCCTAGCTGCTGCTGGCTTCTTTTCTAACAAGGTGTCTAAAAAATATAGTTGGTAAGGTCCCAGAAAATGTGGAAACTTTGCTTTTTTCATTTTTAGGATATTTTATTCAGTGTGTACAAGTTTAGAATTGTTAATCATTCCTGGTAAATTGAATCTATTATCATCATTTGTGACCTTCCTTAGCTATGTTCATGATTACGTGTATATGATTATGTATATGTATTTTACATACATAGCAATTTACTATAGTGATGCTAATCAAGTCTATTTTGTCTGATAGTATAATAATAATGCTGCCCTGGCTCTGTGTTAGTTAACGTTTTCTTGATTTATCTTTTTCCATTCTGGCAGCCCTTCAGTGTCATGTTAATTTAGTTGGGTTTATTTAAAACTACATATATCTAAATTTTGCTTTTTTAATGCAGTCTGACAATACCTGTTTTTTAATTGCTTAATTTATTCTATTTGTAGGTCTATCGTATATAGTCTGTATATATATCTGGGCTTGTTTCTGCCTTTTTACTTTGTTCTTCCTATTTGTCCTGCATTTTCTGTTCTTTGCTTTTATTAAAGTTTTAGAAGTTTAATAGGACATGTAAAACTAACTATTTAAGAATAAAATGCATTATTTATTTGAATTTTTAAAAATGCTTTACATCATTTTTAGATCTCACAGCTGCATAAAAATTCCATTTTTAAATATTCAACAAATATGTTTTGTGAGCCTAGTATATGCTAGAAACTGTTATTGGTGCGGGTGATATAGCAGTGCACAACACCAACAGAAATTCCTGTTCTCATAGAGCTGAAAATTTAGATCAGCATAGTTTTAATTAGGTTTTAAATACTTCAGATACACACTGTTTCTGTAGGTTTAAAAGTCGAGAGCTTCTGAAATGGATTTTCGAAAGTCTAGGGTATGTTAGATATGAACTAATTATTTAATGACAAACGTATCCCTAGGATAAGTGATACGAGATTTCACTTGCTGTGTGCCAAGCCTGTTTATACATACGATTACAGGTGATCAATGTTTGAAGTTATTTTACAGTGACTTCTGGAAACCCCTTCCTGCCATCGTTGTACTTTCTATACTGGTGGCTTTTGCGCTCCTTCATTCACTCAGATGTTTATTCATGTAATAGGGTAGAAATTTATTGAGAAGCAGGTGAGTGTTAGTCACTGTGCTAGGCAGTGGACATTCAAAGAAGGAATGAGACAGCACCTATCATTTAGGAGTTATATGAGTAACTACAATATTAGACTTGAGATAGTAGTATGAATGAAATGCAGTGGAAATAAAGAGATAGGAATGACCTTGGAATGCAGGAGGTGAGTTAAGTGTTGATTGCTTGAGGGATGCTTGAACTCGTCTGGGTTTTGGTTAACTGGAGGCTTTATTGGAAAACTGTTTTGTTTTTATTAGAGTTGTTACCATAAATTTCAGTAAAAAATGGTGAGATTTAAAAAACAACTTTGTAATATATACCCACCTTGTCATTTCAGGAACTGTCTTGTTTTGTTACGAGGTGCTATGAAGTGGTGATGAACGTAGTCCACCAGTTGGCTGCCCTCTATATCAGTAACAAGTAATGGATTTTAGAAATATTTTTGCTTTTATAATAGAGATGCAGAAAATGTTCTTTCTAAAATTAATGACTTGAAGTAGTTTTTCTTTCATTCAGCATTCTTTGAACACTTATGGTATTTCAAACAGTACTTGATGTGTATAATGCATAGGTTAGTAAGACGCAATTTCCACCATGGTGAATGAACCCATTATCTGTCTGAATGAGAGTGTCTGCAGAACAATCTTAAAGAAATTTGACCATATAGAGGAAGGCTAACATGGAATTAGTACATGTTCTGTGTTCTCTCTCTTTATCCCTTTCCTCTTTACACGAATGGTTGCCTGACTCTAATGGAGTCACTTGAGACTTTTCTTAGACTACAGAATCTTGAGGGTTGGAGCTAGGGAATCTACATTGAAGAAATTTTGTGAGTAGTTCTAATGATTTTAAATATACCCAGTAAAATATACCTTAAATATACACAGTAAAATTTATTTAAATTAAAAAAGAGGGGATTTAATATGGGAGTCGGAGGGCTGAAAGGACAAAGAGAACAGTGAAGTCATCCAGAAGAAACAGATGCCACCTCTCCATCCAGAAAACAGAAGGGAAAAGATTGAGGTTACCAGAATCTGGGAGCTTGGAGAAGAAGCCTCATGGAATTGGTGCTAATGCCACTGAGGAGGTGGTACCGCCTGGCTGCTATTGGACCATTACCCTAAATCAAGAAAAATGACCACATTTTCATAGAGCCCTTGTAGCTTTACTGCAAAATAATATCTCACATTTGATTGGTTCTTTATACTTAAAATTTTTTTCCATACTTACAATTTAATTAATACAGTAACTTTGTTTAGCTCTATGTCTAGGCATTATTAATGATGAGAAGAGATAACTGAGACCTGGAAGAGACAGCAAGAGTCCCTGGCAATTTTGGCACTGTTCTTTTGGTCACCAGCACATTCATTTTTCTTACTATACCATGCTGCATAGTAACTCTTTATACTGGAGTGTTAACTGTTTCTTATTCTCCCATTTTCCACCTCAATTAGGTATTTATGTTCTGTCTTTTCACTGAAGCTCTCATGGCAGGAGAGAATGAGAGTATAGCTCCCCTACCCCTTGCAGTACCTGATGGATAGTTCTAGAAAGACTCCCCCTCATCCTACCCCTGCCCTAGAAGGATGAAATTTATTTGAATTTTGTGTTTAAATTTAAAATATGCATTCTATCTTGTGGAATATCTGTATGTGCTTTAATATTATAAGTACTGTTTAAAACTTGTTGAGCAAAATGAGTAGGAGGTAGAAGTGAATTTTTCTTTGACTTTTGACTTTGGTATAATTCTAGTAGTACACACTGTTTTTCAGTAGGGATGAGGACTCAGACAAACCCAACTGAAGAGAGGACTGATTCTTAAAGGCCAGTTTGGATAGAATAACAAAAATTATAGTTGGTAATTGAGAAATTCTAATAGTTTAGAAAGATATGAATACCACTTTTAATATTTCTCTACCTCCATCCCAAGATACATCATTTGGGTTTAAATGGGTAAGGTTATTCATAGGTCACCTATCATCATAGCCCTACCCATGAGTGGGATATAGGCAAGAATACTGTTAGGGTGGTGCAAAAATTATTGCTGTTTTTTAATCACAGTTACTTTTGCACCACCCTAATAGTATGCACAAGGTAGTTCTCTTCTTGGGAAAGTGGACTTGACGCTCTTAAATTTTAAATGACTAGAGCGTTAATAAAGATAAATATTAAAATTCCAAGATCATCTGCTCCTGTGAGTATTTGAAATAAGAATAAACTGTGACAAAAAGGAAAGTTGTTTTTTTTTTTAACTTGGTTGTTATTTTATTATAGGATTGCACCCAAAATTATAGAGACAACTGGAGTTCATTTTCAGGTAAAAGACATTTAACTTGACTTGTAAAACTGTAATTTTTACTATATTTTACTTTGGAGTTTGTATGGTTGGAGAGTATGACACTCATAGCAACTCTCTTAAAGGGGTGTACGTGTGTGTATGTGTGTGTGTGTGTTTGCATTTGTTGTCTTTCATCTGTGAAGTTGATGAGTCATTATTAACCATTATCAGTGTAACTTCGTTTTTCCCAGTAGTGCCTTAATGCAGATTCTCTAAATGATCTCTTTGGACAATGAAATGAATCTGCAGTATTGCAATTAAGGATGAAATTTTGTTCATCTTAAAAAGAGAAAAGTGTTCTCTGTTTAAGACTAAAAGACTAATAGTCCTTTCTGAGGATCCAACCTGTAGCTGAATAAACTGATTTACCCACTGCTTTTACTAATTCAGTAATTAGCCCAAATGATTTTACTTTAAACGTCTACATGAGGCTTAACTTCTAACTAGTGACTAAATGATAATCATTAAAGGTTTTTTGACAGACTATGTATGAGCACTTGGGAGAACTGCTAACAGTTTTGCTCACCCTGGATGAAATTATTGATAATCATATCACACTGAAAGACCACTGGACTATGTACAAAAGGTACACCAATTAAAATATTTTAAAATGTTCTCTTACTTTGGTTAATGTATTTGTGTTAGTAAAAAGTAAACAAATATAAATAATACAGATTTTCTAAAAGAGCTGGAGATTGATATTTAGAAGAAACTCATATCAAATATTTTTATGAATACAGTAACCATTCTTTAATTTCATATGAGTTTGTTGGGACAAGTATACATCTGTATAAAGCATCCTAATTCTTATAGTAGTAGAAAGTTAATTTGCCTAGCTTAGGACTGAGATTTATTTTTTTGCTTGGGTTCTATTCAGGTGACAGTTTTTCTTTTTCTTTTTTGAGACGGAGTCTCACTATGTCACCAGGCTGGAGTGCAGTGGCGTGATACTGGCTCACTGCAACCTCTGCTTCCCGGGTTCAAGTGATTCTCCTACCTCAGCCTCCCAACTAGCTGGGACTACAGGTGTGCGCCACCATGCCCAGCTAATTTTTGTATTTTTAGTAGAGACGGTGTTTCACCATGTTGGCCAGGATGGTCTCCATCTCTTAATCTCGTGATCTGCCTGCCTTGGCCTCCCAAAGTGCTAGGATTACAGGCGTGAGCCACCATGCCCAACCCGACAGTTTTTCTTTCCTGAGCTTGGTTTTATTTTATATACCCTGAATTTTTTTAGACCATGGTTTATTTTATTCATGTTATAAGTACTTATTAAATGTCTGGTATGTACAGAGTATGAGGCATTTTAATTTAAGATGATATTAAAAAGCATAAGAAAATCTATTAGGATTATTGAAAAACAAATTTTCAAATATGTAGAGCCAAACAAGAAATACAAAGATAAAATTTTGACTTCAGGAACATTTTTAATTTTTAATTTAAGAATTTATTCAGTGGATTTAAGATGTTTCTCTTAATTTCCACAAGGTTACTGAAATCCGTCCATCACAATCCTTCAAAATTTGGAATTCAAGAAGAAAAACTAAAGCCATTTGAAAAGTTCTTGCTGAAGCTAGAAGGGCAATTACTGGATGGAATGATATTCCAGGTAAGTAGGTCTGTATCAGACTGTAACAATTGGGCTCATATTAGACGACAAAGCTCAGAATTACAGTAGGTCACTTTTATAATGCACTGTTAAATATATTTTTCTTTAAAAAGTGCTTTGGCTTAAAATTATTGTTAGAGTACTAAAATATTTCTGTATCTAGTAGCCAACAAAATTAATAGTGTATTAGTTGTATCTAGAGTAAGAGTTTTAGAAAAATTATGTAAATGGATACCAATATTTGAGGATTAACATCTAATCTGAGTAGTTAGGTATAGGCATATCTTGTTTTATTGCATTTCGCTTTATTGCATTTCCCAGGTAATTGCATTTTCTATAAATTAAAGGTTTGTGGCAACCCTGCATCAAGCAAGTCTTTGATCGTCATTTTTCCAACAGCATTGTGTTCACTTTGTCTCTGTCACATTTTGGTAATTCTTGCAATATTTTAAAGTTTTTCATTATTATCATAGCTGTTATGGTGATCAGTGGTTTCTGATGTTACTATTGTAATGTTCTGGGGTGCTACAAATAGTCCCCTGTAAGATGATGAACTCAATCAATAAATGTTGTGTGTGTTCTGAATGCTTTATCAATTGGCTGACTGTTGACCTGTCTTTCTCCCTCTCTTCAAGCCTTTTTATTCTCTGAGACACAACCATATTGAAATTAAGCCAATTAATAGCCCTACAGTGGCCTCTCAGTGTTCGAATGAAGAGTTTCATGTCTCTTAATCAAAAGCTAGACATGATTAAGCTTAGTAAGGAAGTCATATCAAAAGCAGAGATAGGGCCGGGCGCGGTGGCTCACGCCTGTAATCCCAGCACTTTGGGAGCCTGAGCCGGCAGATCACGTGAGGTCAGGAGTTTGAGACGAGCCTGGCCAAGATGGTGAAACCCTCTCTCTACTAAAAATACAAAAATTAGTAAGGTGTGATGGCAGGCGCTTGTAATGCCAGCTACTCGGGAAGCTGAGGCAGGAGAATCGCTTGAACCTGGGAGTCAGAGGTTGCAGTGAGCCAAGATCACGCCGTTGTACTCCAGCCTGGGCATCAAGAGGGAGACTCTGTCTTGCGGGCGGGGCGGGGACAAAAAAAGCAGAGATAGGCCGAAAGTTAGGCCTCTTGCTGAGAATAGTTAGCCAATGTGTGAATGTAAAGGAAAAGTTTTGAAGGAAATCAAAAGTGCTGTAAACACAGAGATGATAAGAAAGCGAAACAGCATTACTGCTCATACGGAGAATGAGCAGTTTTGTTGCACTGAATTGAAAATCAAGCCAACCACAACATTAGTTTAAGCCAAAGCCTAATCCAGAGCAAGGCCCTAACTCTCTTTAATTCTCTGAAGGCTGAGAGAGGTGAGGAAGCTGCAGAAGAAAAATTTGAAGCTAGCACAGGTCGGTTTATGAGGTTTGGGGAAAGAAGCTGTCTCCATAACATGAAAGTGCAGAAGCAGCAAGTGCTCATGTAGAAGCCAGTAAGTTATCCAGAAGGTCTAGCTAAAATCACTGATAGAAGTGGCCACACTCAGCAACAGATTTTTCAGTGTAGATGTAACAGCCTTCTATTGGAAGATGCCATCTACATCTTTCATAGAGGGAAAGCCAATGCCCATTTGCCATTCTGAAAATCTTAGGACCCTTAAAAATTATATTACTCTACTCTGCCTGTTCTCTGTAAGTGAAACAACGAAGCCTGATGACAGCATATCAACATTGAGGCAAGACCCTCAGCCAGCAAAAAGATGATAGCTCACTGAAGGCTCAGATGTTAGCATTTTTAGCAATAAAGTATTTTTAAATTAATATACTTAGACATAATGCTATTGCATACTTAATAGACTATAGTATAGTGTAAATATAACTTTTTTTTTTTTGAGATGGAGTTTCACCCTTGTTGCCCAGGCCAGAGTGCAGTAGTGCAATCTCAGCTCACCGCAATCTCTGCCTCCCGGGTTCAAGCAATTCTCCTGCCTCAGCCCCCCGAGTAGCTGGGATTACAGGCCTGTGCCACCATGCCCAGTTAGTTTTGTAGTTTTAGTAGAGATGGGGTTTCTCCATGTTGGTCAGGCTGGTCTCAAACTCCCGACCTCAGGTGATCCACCCGCCTCAGAAATTTGTGTCACTCACGTTATTGTGCTGGTTGGGAACTGAGCCTATGGTTTCTGTGAGGTGTGCCTATATTGTGTTTGCTGTTAACCTCTAGGTTTAGGGGGTTTTTTTTGTTTTTGTTTTTGAGTCTCGCCCTGTTACCCAGGCTGGAGTGCAGTGGTGCAATCTTTGCTCACTGCAACCTCTACCTCCTGGGTTCTAATGATTCTCCTACTGCCTCAGTCTCCCGAGTAGCTGGGATTACAGGCGCCTGCCACTGCACCCAGCTAATTTTTGTATTTTTAGTAGAGGCGAGGTTTCACCATGTTTGCCAGGCTGGTCTCGAAGTCCTGACCTTGTGATTCGCCCACCTCAGCCTCCCAAAGTGCTGGGATTACAGGTGTGAGCCGCCATGCCCCGTCAGGTTTAGGTTTTTAAGACAACCCTTAACAAGTCTGTTTAATTCTTCCTAGGCCCAGGGAATATAATTTGGATTTGCACAGTCCAGTATGGTAGCTTCTAACTACATGTGGCTATTTAAATGTAAATACATTAAAATCAAATACAAAATTCACTTTCTTGCTCACGCTAGCCACATTTCAAGTACTTAATAGCCACATATAGTTCACGGCTAGTTATCATATCAGACAGCACAGATGTAGAATGTTTCCATCATCACAGAAAGTTCTGTTGGACAGTGCTGCTTTGAGCAGGTTCCACCAGAAATTGCATTATATTCCATTTATAGTATATTTCAAGGTTACCTTTAGTTTGTGTTTTACATGATCACAGTTTTTAACCGATTAATCTCAACTCTTGTTTACAGTTGACCCGACCCTTTGAACAACATGAGTTTGAAGTGCGCACGGGTCATACAGATTGTTTTTCAAGAAATGTATTAGAAAATTTTTTGAACATTAGCAACATTTTGAAAAAAACTTGAACACAAATGGCTTAGCCTAGAAATATTTTAAAAACCTGAGGAAAAGTTAGGTATGTCATGAATGCATAAAATATATGCAGATACTAATCTACTTATGTGTTAATTGACTTATGTTATCCATAAGGCTTTTGGTCAACAGTATGCTATTACTAGTTAAGTTTTTGGGTAGGCAAAAGTTATATGAAGATTTTTTACTGCATGAGGGTCAGTGGCCCTAATTTTATGTTGTTGAAGAGTCAACTGTATATCAATTTAAATGTTATTTTTTAATTTAATTTTATTTTATTTTATTTTTTGAGACGGAGTCTTGCTCTGTCGCCCAGGCTGGAGTGTAGTGGCGCGATCTTGGCTCCCTGCAAGCTCTGCCTCCTAGGTTTACGCCATTCTCCTGCCTCAGCCTCCCGAGTAGCTGGGACTACAGGCACCTGCCACCTCGCCCGGCTAGGTTTTTTTTTTTTTTTTTTTTTTGTATTTTTTAGTAGGGACGGGGTTTCACCGTGTTAGCCAGGATGGTCTCGATCTGCTGACCTCGTGATCTGCCCGTCTCGGCCTCCCAAAGTGCTGGGATTACAGGCGTGAGCCACCGCGCCCGGCCTCAATTTAAATGTTAGTTCATTAGGGTAAGAAGATAATTTTTTTGTTACTGATTCTTTTTCTAGGAGATATTTCTATACATGCTATAATAAAGTTCTAGGAAAGTAATTGTAAACAGTAAACATAAATTCTACTCATAAAAGTGCAAAGTAAAATAAAAAATATGCTTTATCTTCTATACATCTCTGAACATCGTGTGTATTTCTTTATACAGGATTATAGATTTGGATTCAGTTTTATTACTTTCACATAACTAGTACCCAAAAATATAAATACATACAAATTTTTCATTCACAAAGATCTAAATATTAGGTTTCATTAAGAACCTGAGCTTTAGTTTTAGTAAAATTTAAATGATGAATATAGAAATTTATCATACACTACATTTAGTGTATGATATTTAAATGTTTAATCATTAATTATTGAGAGTCTGAATTTCTCTTTAAATGTTTCCTATCTAGGCCTGTATAGAACAACAATTTGATTCTCTCAATGGAGGAGTATCTGTGTCAAAAAATAGCACTTTTGCTGAGGAATTTGCACATAGTATTCGGTCAATTTTTGCAAATGTAGAAGCCAAGCTTGGTAATGTAAATCTGATTTTTTGGTTTTTGTTTATAAAATTTGCATTTCCTTAAAGCATAATTGAAGTGTAATTGTTCTGCTTTCTCTTATGTTATTGATTTGTAAGGAGAACCTTCTGAAATTGACCAGAGAGACAAATATGTTGGAATTTGTGGACTCTTTGTATTGCACTTTCAGATTTTTCGAACTATTGATAAAAAGTTTTATAAGTCTTTATTGGACATTTGTAAGAAGGTAAGAACTTGAAACTTATTTTTCAATTTGAGTAGATTAAAAAGATTGCAGATAAAACTAAGTATTTTAAAATGCATTTTATTCCTGTTTACAAAAATAATTTAAAAATATTCACTTGTAAAATTCAAGTATTCCAGAAATAAGTAACTTAGTGAATGAAAATACATCATATTTCTACATCATATTACTACGTATTGGTAGATGGTGTTCAGGTTTGTTCTGTACATTAACTTTCTTTTAGTGGTACTAATACTACTTTTTTCTTTTCGTTTTCTTTGCCACTGATTTTCATTACTGAAGATGAAGAAATTTAAAATATATTTCTTTCTGTGTCTTTGTTATTTTCATAATGTGGCACCTGATTTCAAAACTGAAAGATTAGTTTATGTGTAACATTGAGTGATAGTGACTATGATAACCCAGCCAATTTTTTAAAAACTTATATAAAATGAAACTAAAGGACATGAAGATTCAAGTTTCTATTTACTTGTTGCATTTTTTTATCTGACAATCCATGAGAGGGTGTTTTGTGTGTGTGTTATTTAATACTTAGGGGAATAAAACTGTTTCTATTTACTTGTTGCATTTTTTTATCTGACAATCCATGAGAGGGTGTTTTGTGTGTGTGTTATTTAATACTTAGGGGAATAAAACTGTCATGCTCAACACCAGATGTAGAAATGCCTTAACTCTGCCACAGTGAAAGATATTTGTCTCATAATATATTAATAAGTATTTTTGTGGTTATTTTTTCTTGAAATGAATTGTCTTCCATGTGTATTATAGAACTTTTAAAAAGCTTATTGTGTAGCCTGCATTTAATGATTTTTCCCCTTTTCCCTTTTCTATTTTAGGTACCAGCCATCACTCTAACTGCTAATATTATTTGGTTTCCTGATAGTTTTCTGATACAGAAAATACCAGCAGCTGCCAAACTTCTAGACAGAAAAAGTCTTCAAGCCATTAAAATACACAGGGATACTTTTCTACAACAGAAAGCTCAATCACTTACCAAGTAGGTTTTATAAACAAATATAATGAAAATATTTAGATATTATTTATTTTCAAATATTATACTAACCCTAAATGTATAATACCATTTGAGTTATTAAATGTACTTGATAATTAAGGGTCAGGCAATCTCCAGGAGATTTGTTTTCTAGAGGCTTTTTGTAAAAAATATTTTACACTTAAAGTCAATTTAAGATGTGGACGGATTATACTTTATGGATACAAATGCGTACGTACATAGTTTTTATCATCTGTGTTAAATATTTTTTGTCTAAATGAAGTGAAGTCTCAGATTTTGTTGCAGTGGATATCGTTTGATAACATTAAAAACATTGTATGTCCATGGTGATTTTGGGAGAGGCTGAGTTTTTCTTGATTTGCTTCCTTTTTCCCCCTTTATTTTTATTTTTATGAAAATAATATATGCATATGTATAAAACATCAAAAAGTGCTAACGCTTAAAGGGAAAGATAATTCTTCCCAATTCCTTCCTGTATTTCAGTCTTGCTCTCCAAAGAAACACTTAATTCTTTGTTTCTTCTGATATTTACATCCTTATTTTTTGTTTGTCTCTTATTGTGTAGATTTTCAAATATACACAAAGTAGAGAAAATAGTAGAAAGAGCCCCTACATTCCCATCACCCAGCTTCAACAATTAATTTATTGCACATTCTTTCTTGAGTACACAGCTAAAATCACATGTTAACTTGGATAAAGCTTTTGAGTGAAATGACACAGGGCTCTGCTGCTGGCCCCATGCTGGTGACAGATTTTTGTTTGTGATATGGCTGGGTGTAATGGGGATACTTATCCACTTTCTGTTGATTTTGACTATCAAAGGGAAGATGGGTCACTAGTGTACATTGGGGGAAGGAAGAGCATGTCATTTTTAGTACTGCCATGTCCTCTGATTAAAGTGGAAAACTACCACCAATTTAGGCAGGTCTACTCACTTCAGAACTCTAGTAGATATCCTAAATCAGGTTTGAAGAGGGATAAAAACAAACGTTTAGATTTAGATTAGAGAGCTGAATTAAGTAATATAAGATTTAGAGAGATTTATCTTTCCATTTGAGTAGCAGTAAGTAGGGAAAAATGTGTGTATTTTAGTTCTTGGAATGTTGATATTTTGTAACAGTGTGATGCAGTTACTCAAAATGCCAATACATACTTAGCTTACATTAATAACTGTAATACCCAGGTTGTAGAAACTAGTTACAGTACAGGTTGAGTATCCCTAACTGAAATGATCCAATACTGGAAACTTTTTGAGTGCCATTGTAATGCCCAACGGAAATGCTCATTGGAGCATTTTTGGATTTCAGATTGGGGTGCTGAACTAGTAAGTATATAATACAAATATTCCAAGATCTGAAACACTTCTGGCCCCAACCATTTTGGATGAGGGGTACTCATCATGTATCTAGGTCATGGGACTTGATAGTTCCATTAAATTCTGTTTTTTCTTTTTCCTTTTTTTTTTGAGACCAAGTCTTGCTCTGTTGCCCAGGCTGGAGTGCGATGGCGTTATCTTGGCTCACTGTAACCTCTGCCTCCCAGATTCAAGTGATTCTCCTGCCTCAGCCTCCCGAGTAGCTGCGACTATAGGTGACTACCACCACGCCTGGCTAAATTTTTTTTTTTTTTTAGACGGAGTCTTCCTCTGTCACCCAGGCTGGAGTGCAGTGGTGTGATCTCAGCTCACTGCAACCTCGGCCTCCTGGGTTCAAGTGATTCTCCTGCCTCAGCCTCCTGAGTAGCTGGGATTACAGGCACATGCAGCCATTCCTGGCTAATTTTTGTATTTTTAGTAGAGACGGAGTTTCACCATGTTGGTCAGGCTGGTCTTGAACTCCTGACCTTGTGATCCGCCTACCTCGGCCTCCCAAACTGCTGGGATTACAGGCGTGAGCCACCGCTCCCACGCCCGGCTAATTTTTATATTTTTGGTAGAGATGGGATTTCACTATGTTGGCCAGGCTGGTCTTGAACTCCTGACCTCCGGTGATCCACCCACCTTGGCCTTCCAAAGTGCTGGGATTATAGGCATGAGCCACCACACCCGGCCTTTAAAAAATTTTTTGTTTGTTTGTTTTTAAACTTTTAAGTTTAGGGTACAAGTGCAGGTTTGTTACACACGTAAACGTGTCATGGGGGTTTGTTTTGCAGGTTACTTCATAACCCAGGTATATTCCATGGAATTTTTATTGATCAGATCATAGCTGGTGTTTGGTGGTGCCATGTTTTGAGAGGGTCACAAACTGCAGTATCCCTAGATGAAGCTGATCAGGATGTCAGAAGGTCTGAGAACCATGCCTTCTTGTTTATCTTCTCTTTGTTAGTGTCTGTATAGTTTGGCTTTTAAAAGAGAAATCTGTGGAATGATGCGGTGGGTTTCTTTAAATATTTGAAGGGTGTTCAGAATGAAGAGGGAACAGATTTGATCTCTGTGGCTCCAGTAGGCTAAACTAAAACCAAAAGGTGAAGATGACAGATAGTAATGATAATAATTGCCAACATCATGAAGCTCTCAACTCTGTGCCAGACATTATGCTAATAGCTTTAAACATACCATGTTCCATAAAGCATGTAACAGTTTTCTGGCATAAAATAATAAATGTAACAACTAATGTTTATGGAGTGCTTAGTATATGCCAGTAGCTATTCCAGGAACTTCACACATGTCTCCTTTAATGATCAGAAAATTGTATGAGGTAGATACTGTTGTTGTTGCCGTTTTATAGATGAGAAAACCCTACAGAGATTAAACTTGCCCAAGTTTAAACAACTAGTAGATGGCAGATGCAGGCAGTTCAACTCTACAGCCCAGGCTGTTAACTACTACCGTAAACTATTTTTATCCCATTTTTAGATAAAGAAAATGAGGCTTAGAAAAATGAACTTTGCCAGGTCACACAGCTAAGTACATGTCAGAGAGGGCATGCAGACCAGTGCCAGTCCTGTTCTAGTGCCTGTGCAGCAGGTAGCGTTGTGTAGGCTGCTCTGTATTCTCCTTCACTAAAGCTGTGTAGGCAGAATATAGACGACTGTCAGTCCAAGATCTGTGGGAAGTGAGTCTTATTAAGTGGACAGTCGAATAACTTGACTTTCAAAGACTTATCACATGATGAAATTTTGTTTCTAAATTATTTACTACAGAGCTCCATAAAGATGAAGGGCACAGTTACCTTTTTCAGTCTTTTCGCAGTTATGTCGAGGAAACCTAACATTCACTAAAGTGAAACTCAGGAGAGTGATGATGTGATCAGCATGGGCTTTGTCCTGACATTTTAGAGAAAGTTGAGGGAGTGTCTAAGAGGTGTCCCAAGGTCTTGCTTCAGAGTTTACGTGAGTAGGGAGCAATGGAGAGCAATAAGCAACAGTTTTCCTGCCCCCACACTATACACCAGATCCCAAGTGGCCAGTGTCCCAGCTGTCTCCTTGACTGGGGTCCAGGGTTTGTGGATTTTTGCATTTTGCTTTTGATTCACAACCACTTTAACACTGGAAAATACTGCTTTTAGGGAACAGAGGTCTGAATCTTCGTTTCAACCTCCCATGGTGACATATAGGTGTTGACACTGTTTAGTACTTTATGTTGGGGCAGGAGATTTGTTTTTTTACCTTGATATTTTTCCTGTTTGTACTTTGAAATGCACCTGACAATCCAGTAGGTCACTTGGCGATTTTTGTACTCTTTGTCAGTTAACTTGCTTTTTGAAACTTGAAGCAATTTCATTTTTATGTATTTGTAAGAGGTAAAGATCATCTGTCATCTGAATGTGATCACAGAGTGATGGGCAGAAGTGACATATAAACATCTGCATTATCCTATAGTCTTACCTAAAACTGGCTGAATGCCGTTCACTATGTATTATTGCCTTCTTCATAGTGTTATTGACGTAGTTGCTCATCAGGGAGAGTTCCATAGTCTTGCCTAGGTCTCTTTCTCTGGTCCTTGCTTATGATTTTTTTCTGTTCTCTCCTGTACACGGTATTCCTGCTGAGTCTTGATCACAGCCTCCTCCTCAAAAGTGAAGGTGTTGCTCTAGGACCATGCTCTCTGTTTTTAAAAAAGGACCAGGCTTTTAAAAAATGATTCCTTAAAAAAGGAATCATTCATAAGTCAAACAATGTTTCAGCACCATTCTAAGCAAAGCCACAAAGTATGACTATTTGTGTTTTTCGTCTGATGGAATTATGGCTCTGTAGAAACCATTTTTCTCAGATTTTGTGCTAGGGTTTTACCTCCGTGAGTCACATTTATTAGAGACTTTGGCAGGATACCTCTTTAGATTGAACTCTTGAGATTGACAGATTGCCCGGCAATATGGCTAGCCGCTGACCTCAGTGTGGGATTCTAAATGTAATTGAGTGTCTTTAGTTCCTTGCCCTGAAGAGCTATCCTCTAGCTGATTCTGACCTGTAAGAATGGGACATTTCTTTACCCTGTGTAGCTAAGGAAGATTTGAGTTGGTAATGTCTGATTCGATAAAGAAAAATTCTCCATTTTGCATACTAAGTTTTTGTTTGTTTGTTTTGGAGACGGAGTCTCACTCTGTCGCCCAGGCTGGAGTGCAGTGGCGCGATGTTGGCTTACTGCAACCTCTTCCGCCTCTCAGATTTAAGCAATTCTCTTGCCTCAGCCTCCAGAGTAGCTGGGACTACAAATGTGCGCCACCATGCCTGGCTGATTTTTGTATTTTTAGTAGAGACGGAGTTTCACCATGTTGGCCAGGCTGGTCACGGACGCCTGACCTCAGGCAATCTGCCTGCCTCGGCCTCCTGAAGTGCTGGAATAACGGGTGTGAACCACCGTGCCCGGCCACATACTAAGTTTTTTAAAGAAAAGTATAGCTTAAACAGCTTGTGAATACAAAGAGGTTCCTATCTTGAATGAGATTGAGTTGGGAAACATTGATGGAGTGATTTAATATTTGTAATCATCCTGAATAGTAGAGAGAATTACATTTTTACTGCCCTAGTCTTTCTGGGATGGAAAAACTTCCTGGATGTGAGCTTGAATCTTGACTGAACTTACGATCTTGCTGCCTACTTAACTTCTCTGTGTAGCAGTTTCTTGTTCTGTGTGGAGGTTGTAGTACCTGCCTCGTAAGGTTAATGTGAGGATTGAAAGAGGTGGTGTGTGTGTGTGTGTGTGTGTGTAAAGTTCTTGGAACAGTAGCTGTCATGTAGTAAGCATTCAATAGCTATTAGCTTTTATATTCAGATTCTGACCACTTCCACTGTTCCTATTCTGGTTCAAGTTGTCATCCTCTTTCTTCTGCATTATTACAGTAGCTTTCTAGGTGGTTTTCCCGCTTTTACCGTTGCCCCCTCTGTAGTTTATTTTCAACTCATCAGATCCTCTTAAAACTAAAGTTAGATCAAGTTACTTTGCTTGGCTCCTGTAGTGGCCTTCTGTCTCAAAGTCAAAATCCCTACTCCTTGCAAGTCCTTCCACAAATCCCTTCCCCATCTTACTTTTCTAGTCCCCCATTCCCTCCCTGTGTATCTCGCTGATCTAATCCCTGCTCACTGTGCTTCAGGTATACTGACTTCTTTGTTATTACCTGAACAAGCCAGACACATTTCCAGGTGTCTTAGGATTTTGCATTTGTCGTTCACTTTTCTACATTTCTTGTATATTTGCATGAATTACTCATTCATCTACTTCAAACTTTGGCTCAAAATCACCTACTCAGTGAGCCTACTTTGATCACTCTATATAAAATTGCACCTCCACCCCAGTCCCTATCCTTTTTCCCCTGCTTATATTTCTTCTGTAGTATGTATCTTTTAATTAATTTAAAATTTTACTTATTGATTTCATTATTATACAACTCTCCTTTCTAGAATGTAATCATCATGGGAGCAGGGATTTGTATTCATTTTATTTACTGCTGATTTCACTGTTGTATTCTCAGTACCTGTACTAAGAAACAGTGCCTGGCATGTTTGTTGAATGAGTAAATTATGTATGTCTATATAATATTTATCTTTTGAAAACCAGAAAGATGAAGTGACTGCTGCAGAGAAATAATGTACTCCAATCAATATCAAGAAATGGAAGTAAATTTTCTTTGCCAAGTAACCCCAGTATTTTCCTTTGTTAGAGATGTACAGTCTTACTACGTCTTTGTGAGCTCGTGGATGATGAAAATGGAATCTATTTTATCTAAAGAGCAGAGAATGGATAAATTTGCTGAAGATCTCACCAACAGATGTAATGTTTTTATACAGGTAGTTGCATCTTATAATATTTCGGGGAATCGTTTTTTTGTTAATCTTACAGAAATTAAACTTGGATAAAACTGAACAAAGAGTAGAGTCTGTTTTTGTTTATTGAAACAAATTGATTTGGTTATGTTGGGATCTGTGTGACTTATTAATTTAAATTTTCTAACAACCCATTCAAAGCTCTACATTCCTTCAAAACTTGACTATTTAGCTGTACCCTAGAAGTTTTGATATGTTGTATTTTTATTATTTATTTCAAACTATTTTAAAATTACAATAAACTTTGTGGGCTTTTTGAAAGATTTCCTTATTTTGAACTATATGAGGATTTTCTAGTTATTATTGAGTTGTAGGAATAATTAAATAATTTTAGTATTTTGAAATTTGCTTTATGATCTAGCTTATGGTCAACTTGGGTAAACATTTCACATCCACTTGAAAAGAATGCATAATTTGTATTTGTCAGTTGTAGCATTTTGTATATGACAAGAGGATCATATTTATTAATGATTTTGTCTGTGTATTTCAGATACTGAGAGTTGTGTTAGAATTTCCCACTATTGTGGATTTGTCTGTTTATCCTTGTTCTGTAGTTTTTATTTTGTGTATTTTGAAGCTAAGTATATAATGTTTAGAATTGTTCTGTCTTTCTAGTAAATTGGACCTTTTCTTGTTAAGAAATATTCCTTGTTATCTCTTGTAATGCTTTTTGTCGTAGGTCTCTTGTGTGTGATATTAACTGTAACTGTTTTAATTAATGTCTGCATGGTATTTTCTTTTTTGATCCTTTCACTTGTGGCCTTTCTGGCTCCTTATATTTAGTGTGTGTCTTCTGTAAGTAGCATAAATTTTTTCTCCTATCTGATAATCTTTGTTTTTTTTTTTCATAGTACTATTTTTTCTGTATGTCCTTGTTGATATATTTGGCTTTAAACTGCCACCTGACTAGTTGCTTTGTATTTGTCTCATTTGTTCTGTGTCCCTTTTCTTTTCCTCTCTTGTTCTTTTTTGGAGTATTTTTAATTTTATTTCTCCTCCTATTAGTTTAATTCTCTATTGTTTTACTGTTCTTTTAGTGGTTACTCTAGACATTTAAAATGTATCGTTTACTCATTTAGCTCTAATATAAATTAGTTTCACCACTTTCCTGACAGTGTAAGGATCTTAAACAGCTTTAATTCTGTTTATCTGCCTCTCACCTTTTGTGCTGTTGTTGTGTACTTGAGTTCCTCTGTATTTTAAACCTCACAAGGCATTATTATTGCTATTGTTGTTTTTATAGTCAGTGTTTATTTAGATTTACTCATATTTACCTGTTCTGTCGCTTTTTATTCTTCCTACATCGCTTAATTTTCATCTTCCTACTTGGGGAATACCTGCTAGTATTTCATTAATACAAGTCTCTGTTGATGAATTGTAACAGTTTTTGGTCTGCATATGTCTTTATTTCAATCATTTTGCTGTGTTAGAATTCTAGGTTGGTTGGGTTTTTTTTTTCTTCTAGCTTTTAAAGGTGTCATTTTATTGTCTTCTGGTTTCCTTTGTTTTTGTTAAGAAGTCAGCTGTAGGTTTGTTGCTTTTAAAATATGTATCTTTCTTTACTTTTTGGCTTTTAGTAGTTTTCCTACAGTGCCCCTAGGTATGGTTTTCTTTGTGTGTTTGTGCTACTTTGGGGTCAGTAGAACTTCTTGAATTCATGGAATATTCTTTACCATTAATTCTTCAAGCATTACTTCTTTTCTATTTTCTCTGTTCTAATTCTTCATCTATCTCTAATCTGCTGTTAAATTCATCTACTGAGTTTTAAATTTTAATAATTTTACTTTTCAGTTGGCTTCTTTTTTATAGTTTACAGTTCTCTTCTGAGATGTTTGATTTTGTGTTTTATTTTCTTCAACACATTCAGCTTATTTTGAATCACATGTCTGATAATTTCATTATTTGGCTATTTCTCTTGTCTGTTGTTTCTCTTGTTTTTGTACATCTCTTACCTCTTTATATACCTAGTTATTTTTTATAGAGTGCCACACATTGCTTATGAAAAGCTGTAGATGTTATTTGAGGATCTGGGTCTTTTCTTCCTCCAGAAGGGATTTGTATTTGTATTTGCTTTTGTACACAGCTAGTCTAGGACAGTTAGCAACCCAGGTTATATCAATCTAGTAGGTTGATTGAGATGATTTGAAGCAGGATTGTGATCCTGTGATGGTTGTTTAATTCACCCTTACTTTTTAGGGGATTATCCTTTAGGACCCCAACTCAAAGCTTAGGTGGTTTATGAAAACCAGCTCTGATGAGCCCCGAGCTCCTATTTTTATCTCCCTTCCCTGTGAGATGTTGTTGAAAGATATGTTTGGCTTTTGTCTTTAGGGCAGATGCTTTAAGAGAAAGCAACCCTGAATGCGAGGCTCACTTCTCTGAGTTTCTGTCGTCTTCCAGATCTTAGCCTTATATTTCTTTATTTTTTTGAATCCTCTCTGATGCCTTAGGAGGCATTTTTAAACCATTTTGCTCAGATTTTCTAGTTGTTCTCAGTGGGAAGGCTGGTCTAAATTGTTTATTCTATCATTAACTAGTACAGGCTCCAGACTACCCTCTCCCTTACAATTTAGATTTCAAAATACATCCCTTCACAAATTAATGGTTATCTGGGAATGAGCTAATATGGGCCCTGGAGTTCTGTACTTCAAGTACCCCTAAAAAAGGGAATCCTTCTTTTTCTGCCTGACTTAGAGTTAGATTTTTGCTGTTCCTTGTTTGTGCTTATTAATTTTTCCCAGGGCTGCACTAGGGTAGGGTCTGATGTAATAGTCCTGTAGCCTACAAGGTAGGACTTTGTGGCTCTTTCTGCATGTATGTGGCAAGCTTTGGTCTTACTGTCACCTTTCTTAGGATGCTATCCTCTCTTTGATTTTTTCATTTTGTTAATTTAGCACATGCCTCTTTGCCACAGAGAAACTTTGTGTGTGGTTCAGAGGAACTCCTACTTTGTGCTGAGTATCTTTCCTTTAGTGAGCCGCTGTTTCTGATGGGAGAATACATTCTCTCACATGTGGTGGGACAGGAGTAAAAGGTTGAGGAACACTGGCATATAGCTTCTGCCCCACCTCCTTCATGTATCTACAATAACGTAGTTAAGGTTCATTGCTAAACTGTACATGCATCTCTTTTGGGAACTTTATAGACCCAAAGAATCTCCGTCATTATCTTTGTGTTTTTCTCTGTTTCCCTTTTGGGTTTAAATGAAAAACTATTTGAGAAATAATATCGCTTTTTTCCTGTTTTCTTATTCCACCGTTTCCCTGAGTTTAATACCATTAAAAGAATTTTAACACCTCACAAGACCTGGCTTTCTTCATGAATAGAAGGGGAGGGGAGAATCTGTTCTCATTGGGCTGGAAGGAGAGAAAGCCTAATTAGCACCAAACTAGGCAAGGACAAGATAGCAGATGGATTGTGGTGATTGGTCTAGGTGAATAGGAAAGGGGGACTTGGCTTGGAACTCAGAAATTGCCGTGCCTATCTGTGTTGACTGAACAGCTCTCTTTCTCATTTTTCCATTTTTAACTCCTTAGAGTCCTCAGCTCTTGCCTTAAGTGGCAACAGATAGGAGTCTTTATTCTCTTCCCTGGCAGGTAAGATAAGGATGAATAGATACCTTTCTAACATCCAAATTGTTTCACTCAAAGCTTTTCTAAGGGAAAGAGTCTTTTTTTTTTTTCTAGACAGAGTCTTGCCCAGTCACCCAGGCTGGAGTGCAGTGGCGCGATCTCGGCTCACTGCAATCTCTGCCTCCCGGTTTCATGCCATTCTCCTGCCTAAGTCTCCCGAGTAGCTGGGACTACAGGCGCCTGCCGCCATGCCCGGCTAATCTTTTTTGTATTTTTAGTAGAGACGGGGTTTCACCATGTTAACTAGGATGGTTTCGATCTCCTGACCTCATGATCCACCCACCTCGGCCTCCCAAAGTGAGCCACCACGCCTGGCCAAGGAAAAGATTCTTAAGCTGTGATTATACACTGTTATTTTGACAGTACTAAACTTCTGGTATGTGACAGGATAAATAAATGGTTAGGGCTGCTTTGAAACTTAACCACCATGTATTATTGTCTCTCTGAGGAAGAGTATCTCCAAATCTTAAGAGCTGGCTTTAAAATGAACTTTAGAAGCATATAGTTATTGGTAAGTTGAGGAATAACTGCTGTTACATAGATAATGAAATCTTGAAGAAGTCTTTCCTTGTGATTATAATCAGTGTTTTCCTTTACAGGGCTTCTTGTATGCTTATAGTATTAGTACCATTATTAAAACCACAATGAATCTCTACATGTCCATGCAAAAGCCAATGACCAAAACCTCAGTTAAGGCATTATGCAGGCTTGTTGAACTTCTCAAGGTAGGTTTTAGATTATTTTACTTTGCCATCATAATTGAGAAGTGACCCAGGCTTAAATTAGGATAATCTTGTAAGATTTGACTACATGATTATATGAGAACAGAAAGTTATGAGAAAGTACTTCTCTCTCAATTGAATAAAGGAACCAGCCATTTAAATAAATTTCTGAGTAACTACTTACGACTGGTCATTATATTTAAACTTTACTAAATAAAGTTAATATATCCAGTTCACACAGTAAAAAAAAAGTTAAGGTAGTGAGAGAGAAAAGAAAGAAAATGGAAAAGTTAACTTTAATTTAATTAGTAAAGTTTTACTCATAGAAGTTTTAAAAAGGTTGTATGAGTTTAAAAAAAAACTTGTCTACCATTATCCGTTACAGTGTTTACATGCATATGAGGTTAGTTAACATAAGACTATTTATTTTGTAATTTAGGTTAAGTGCTGTAATCTTGTGATTTGAACAATAGACTACTTATAGAGGTGGTCAAATGAATTAAGAATTAATACACCTATGCAAGTATGGTAACGTGTTTCTTAGCTTACTTCTGTATTAAAGAAAAAAGCTGTAGGCAGGAAAGCCCAGTTAACCTTTTGTAAAAATTGAAATTACAATTTACTGGTGAATTTTCTCCTAATAATTGACTAGATTTGTTCAGGAAATAAAGATTTTTCTTTTGGAGATTCTGCCTTTGGATTTTCAGCCTTTTTTTCTTTATACTATTTGTTTATAGATATTTTATGTTTTATTTTTTATGAACTATAAATACAGACGAGTATATGTCTATGTTAGAATATGTATAAATATGTAATACATAAGTATGGTTTTAAAATTAATAATAAATATCTAAATACCCACTGTCCCACTTAAGAAATAGAATGTTACCAATATTTTCAAATACTGTGTTTCTTCCTAATTGTATCTCAACCTGTCCACCTCAGAGGAGACTACTGTCCTGAATTTTATGTTTATCATTCCCTTGTTTTTCTTTTTAGCTTACCAAATATGGATGAATCAATAAAACATTAATCGTTATATATGTTTTTGAAGTTTATATTAGTGGAGTAGTACTTTATGTATTTTTTGGTCTGCTTTTTTATTCAACATTTTGTTTTTTACTCAGCATTTTGTATTTGAGTGTATCCATGTTGGGATGAGTAGCCCATCTATTTTCATTGTTGTGTAGCTTTCCTGTGGATAGACTTTGGGTTGTTTCCAGTTTTTGTATCATAAAGAATGTTGCCATCCTTGTATGTGTTTCTTGGTGTACTTGTGCAGGAGTTTTTCTAAGGAATTGTATGCCTAAAAGTTGGTTACTGGTTTATATGTTACGTATATGTTCAGCTTTTCGAGATGATGTCACATTGTCTCTATATACAGACTATATATATATGTACACCTCCCACAATACATTAGAAAATTACATTAGAAATAAAATTGTATTTCCAATTGGCCAACTCTGGTACTATGGAGCTTCATTTTTTTTTTAAATATAAATTAGTGGGTATAATTGGTTTTGATTATGATTTTTAATATTTAACCCCTGATTGTTAGTGATGGTAAATATCATTTCAATTATTTATTAACTGTGTTTCTTTTTTTTGTGAAAAATCTGTTCATGTCTTTTCATTTTTTAAAATTTGATTGTGTGCCTTTAAAAAACAAAATCTTTCATTCATTTTGGGTCTTCTTATATCCTGAACATTAATCGCTTGTACCTGGTAGATATTTTGTGATACATTGACTTGCTTTTTTATTTTCTTTATAGAGACTTTTGATAAATGGAAGTGCTTAATTTTAGTATAGTTGAATTTATCAGTTCTATACTTTGTAAAGTTTTTGTTTTGTTTTGTTTTTGAGACAGAGTCTCGCTCTGTTGCTCAGGCTGGAGTGCAGTGGTACGATCTCGGCTCACCTCAACCTCTGCCTCCCATATTCAAGCGATTCTGCCTCAGCTTCCTAAGTAGCTGGAACTACAGGCATGTGCCTGGCTAATTTTTGTATTTTTTAGTAGAGACAGGGTTTCACTATGTTGGCCAGGCTGGTCTCGAACTCCTGACCTCATGATCCACCTGCCTCGACCTCCCAAAGTGCTGGGATTACAGGTGTGAGCCACCGCGCCAGGCCTGTAAGGTTTTTTTGTATCTCATTTACAGATCACTTCCCTAGCCTAAGGTCATAAAGATCTTCTATAATTTTGCCTGAAGTTTTTAAGTTGATTGTCACAAAATTATTTCTGATTCTTTTTAGGCAATAGAGCATATGTTCTACAGGAGAAGCATGGTTGTGGCTGATTCAGTTTCACATATAACACAGCACCTTCAACATCAGGCTCTTCATTCTATTTCTGTGGCCAAGGTATGGAAATTAATATGTATTTAGCATAAGTATGTTATCTTTTTTGTTCTTCCATTGTTTTATATGTGTTTTCTGGTTTACCCTGTTTATTCCTTTCCTTCAAACATAATATGCTTGGTTGTTTATCTCCATAGTATTTTACAATTTTTACTTCAAGTTCTTGGCATTATCTTTACTGTGAAATTGTAGCACGTAATACTTTAATACACTTCTGAAAAAGGATGTTGTTTGCACTTTTGAAATTGATGCATCATTTAAAAAATGATTTATTAAATTAATATGGAAATTTTAAAGTATGCCTAATTTGTTGTTTCTGGTAGTACTAAGAGATAATGTTACAGAAGTAAAGTATAAATAAAATATTATCTGAAGCTTAATGGGGAAAGTATTTGTATATGCTCTCTTAAATCATGGAAAAGATAATCAAGAAGTTTTTCTTCTGAGTCTTTTGTTATTGCCTCAGAAACAAATCGTTTTCCTGTTTTATTTTTAAGAAAAGAGTGATTTCTGACAAAAAATACAGCGAACAGCGTCTTGATGTGCTCTCTGCTCTAGTTTTGGCTGAAAACACTCTAAATGGACCAAGCACAAAGCAACGGCGACTTATTGTTTCTTTGGCACTAAGTGTTGGCACACAAATGGTAAGTGTACTGCTATTACTTATGGAACAGAAATGAGATCTGAGATTTCACAGTTCCCTTGTTACTGACCCTAGAAACTTTTGACTGCAACTTCTCTGCCTTTTTTCCTGTCCCTGATAGAAAACATTTAAAGACGAAGAACTCTTTCCACTTCAAGTAGTCATGAAAAAACTGGATCTTATTAGTGAACTTAGAGAACGGTAAGTAGGACTGGGATATGCTGTGGTACTCTAAAGACAGGGTTAATAGAAACATTGATTTTCTTTTTAGCATAGCAAGAGAAGAAATGAATTCAGATAGAACATTAGTTCCTTTCTGTAACTTCTTTAGCATGACCAAAATGAGATTGTGACTAGGGATCATATTTATTTAGCTTTGCTTCTACAGGAAGCATGTAGCCCCTAGAAAAACTCACACGAGAAAAAACAGTGCAACCTCAGAGCATCTGGCAGACTCTGATGCATATCGTGATTATTATGTTGGGTATCTCTATTGGACCTAGATTGCTACGTTATATAACAGGGCTTCCTCTGTTTGTGTGGGACTTAGCGATCCATGATACATAGTGTTCTATAATTTTAAGACACGAATTTGAATTAACATTGTTGAATTAGTTTTTGGAAGTCTTATTTTTGTAGCTACTTCTGGCTCTCTTGTTTTCTTTTTGTTGAGTAAGCAGTAAGTTTCTTGAAGGGAAATTAGAATATTTTGATTTCCAGCTGAATTAAGGTCACAGCACAATTTCCATTTAGTATTCATACTTATAACTTATTTTGTTGTTGTTGTTCTGGAGAAACTGACATTTTTCTTGTTATTGGCATTTAATTTTCCACTCTTGGGAAGAAATATTGAACCTTTTTCATTATAACATAGTTAATGATCATTCTATTGCCCTTTAAGGTGTGAAATAGTCACTTGGCAAAGATTGTAGACATGTTAAGTGTGGGGTATTTTTTTTGGTCGCAATTTTTTTTAAAAGATTTTTCTTTCCAACTTAGAGTCAGGGAAAATGGAGCATGTGATGCAAGTATTTAAGTCTAGTCATAGCAAATAATATTGAAAATGAGTTTATTTTTATTTACCAAAACTAAAAATGGTCGATAAATGTTTATTTTAAACTGATACTTGAATATTATGCATATCATTTTTCAAGTATGGTTTACAACTAAAGCGTATGTGCAGAATTCTGACAATGTCAGTCATTGGAGTGTTTGTTACCTTTGTTTCATTTTGATAGTATTTCTTTTGTGACTTTTCTATACTACGTTGGGTTAAGTGATGTAGGGAATGCAGACTGTGTAAGATGGAACTCTTCCCTCTGTAGTAGATGTCATTCCTTTCATACTGTTTTGGGATTCTTCAGTTTTGGTGTGACTGATTACTACTTTACATTGTAGAGTCCAAACACAATGTGACTGTTGTTTTTTATACTGGCATCGAGCTGTCTTCCCAATTTATTTAGATGATGTGTATGAAAATGCTGTTGATGCAGCCAGATTACATGTAAGTAAAGAACAATTTAAAAAATAATTCCATCATTTTAAAAGGCACTGTATAAACCGTTTTAGTTTAAAATAGATCATTTGACTTAGTAAACTATTTTAAAATTGACTGTTTTGTAAACTGCATATTCATTAAGTGTTTATGGTCTGTAGTTAAATTTTATGTTACTGTTGATGAAGTTAATTTATTTAATTTCTTCCTTCATGTTCCTAATCATTTTCATTTCACTTAATTTTAGTTTATGTCATAGTAGTCTGACATTTACTCATCAGCAAATTATAATGAAAAAGAAAAAATATTTTTAAAAATATTCAAATTTTTCTTTTTCTTTATGGAAATAAGTGTTTGAATGCACAAGATAGGAAAAGAGTAGTGAATGTGATTTTTTGGGGTATATTTAGTTAAAGTATATGCTTTAGGTTCTTTTTCTTTAGGAAAGTTAAGACAGTTGTGGAAAATCATTTTTCCTTCAGATTGAGGTTTTGTCTTTTAAGATAATTAACTTTTGCAGTATTGTTTAGATTAGAGACCTGGTTTTTCTAAATTCATGTACATTTTAATTTTCTTCTTAGTACATGTTCAGTGCTTTGCGCGACTGTGTACCTGCTATGATGCATGCAAGGCATTTAGAGTCCTATGAGATACTTCTGGATTGCTATGACAAGGAAATTATGGAAATTTTAAATGAGGTAACATCATATTTGAGATTGAAAAGCTTAAAACATGTTCAGAATGTAGTGTTTGGAAAAAAATGTTCGATTGAAGCAGACTATCACTGAGTTAAATTTTTTATAAATTGCTGGGTAGAACAAAGAACTATTTTTAGTTACAATATCACTGTTATGCTAATTGGTCTGTAATTCATTTATTTAGAAATCAGACTAGGAATTAGGAAATTTTAAATTTACTTTTGTTAATAGATATTTTAATTTAAAGTTGTTTATTAGAAGAATGCAAATGTGAAATGGGTTTGAATGTTGAAAGCTGCTAATAGTCCAGTTAAAGCAACTTAACTATTAATATTTTACTGAATTTTATTTGCAGAGCTCCTAAGAGAAGGAAATTGTATATTTAAGAGATTTAGTGTGTAACAAAAGTAATTTGAATCCAATATGTGTGCCCCTCCTTGCTTTAAGGAAATATATATTATAAATATTGATATCTTTGAAATTAAATTTCCATCTAGCGATATTTTTATTTGGAGGGAGGAATTAAAAATGAGGAAATTTCATGATATAATCCTACCTGGGTTTGGTGAAATTGTGAAAAACTTTTTTTTTTTTTTTTTTTGTGACGGAGTCTTGCTCAGTCACCCAGGCTGGAGTGCGGTGGCGCGATCTCAGCTCACTGAAAGCTCCGCCTCCCGGGTTCTCGCCATTCTCCTGCCTCAGCCTCCCGAGTAGCTGGGACTACAGGCGCCCGCCACTACGCCCGGCTAGTTTTTTGTATTTTTAGTAGAGACGGGGTTTCACCGTGTTAGACAGGATGGTCTCAATCTCCTGACCTTGTGATCCGCCCGTCTCGGCCTCCCAAAGTGCTGGGATTACAGGCTTGAGCCACCGCGCCCGGCCTGTGAAAAACTTTTTATAATTTCTTGTATTAAATATTCTTATTTAGGAAATAAAATACATGCCTGGCTAGTAATTTAGAACTCCTTGGTAGACTAGAAAAGATGATTAATTTTATTACCTTTAGCACAATGAATTTTGTGATTTTTTTTTTTTAATGGTTATTACAAGAAAGCTTTTTTTCTTTTCTCTCTTGCATGTTCTCATGACCTTTCCTCCTTTGTTGCTGGTTTCCATAAATTTTATGCTTTAAGTTGCATATTCATGTTCCTTATAATGATACCATCAATCATTAGTTTTATATTTTCTTTTCAAGAGTATTAACCTTAAGGTATTAGTGAAAATAAAGACTTAGAATTTATGTAACTGCTTCTGACCAAAAAACTGTTGGTTTAAAAAGGAGCATAGACATGTAGAGAAACAATACAATTGCAATATCATTTTGAAAAATTAAAGTGTCAAATCTTTTGTGAATAGCATTTACTGGACAAATTATGCAAAGAAATAGAGAAAGATCTGCGACTTTCTGTGCATACTCATTTAAAACTGGATGACCGAAACCCTTTCAAAGTTGGCATGAAAGACCTGGCTCTTTTTTTCTCTCTGAATCCAATTCGGTTTTTCAATCGTTTCATTGACATTCGGGGTGAGTGTTTTGCTTTCCTTCTTAGAGTCATATTCTCTATTTTTTTAACCTACCGTTAAATAACAAAACTTTGAGGGTATATTTAAATTTTGTGTTGTTATTCTTTAATTACATTTTGTTTCTTTTCTCATTAATACCATATTTTAAAGGAACAAATCTGATGTTCAAGGATAAGTTGATTTTTTTCCTTTTTAGTTTCATTTCCTTTTCTACTGTTTCATAAGTTGAAGTTTTTTTTTTTTTGTAGCTTATGTAACTCACTACCTAGACAAGACTTTCTACAATCTAACAACAGTAGCCCTTCATGACTGGGCCACTTATAGTGAGATGAGAAACTTAGCTACTCAGCGTTATGGACTGGTTATGACAGAGGCACATCTTCCCAGTCAGACTTTGGAACAGGTATAGTATAAAATTCTTTTTTTTTTTGTAGCATACTCTGACTGTTGGCCATAACAGTCCTTTTTAAGGAAGTCTATTTTCTTTTTGCTTTAGTTAGTATGTGTTTATTTTTTAAGAAATTATTTGCTGTATAAAATCTTATACGTGACAACAGTAAAAAATTAGGTGCTGCTAGATTGCTTTATAAAGGAATTTACCACAGGCATCCTACTTATATTCAGTCTTCTGAGCATTTGAGATATACATATATATATAGATTTATATACAGCTTTTCAGAAACCATTAGGATAGTGAGGTGACTTCTGTAGAATTTTAAGAAGTTCAAAGTCGCAGTTAAGGATTTTAAGCCTGGTTATAGTATATAAAATTTAATATCTTAGGAAAAATGGTTATTTACATGATTATAAATGTGTTTGTTCTTAAAATGAGGAGTATAGGAAAACATTTAGCTTTGCTAATTCAATTAGTTAATGTACAGTATGGCATTATCTCATGAATATAATAATTTATGTTATCAGATAATTTGCATGGAGTTCTTTCTAAGATGATCCAGATAATATTTACCAAAAAACATTTATTCAGTTCTAAAATTTGAGAATTCTAGTTTTCCCTTTATCTTGCTGCATGTAGGGATTATTTCTAGGATCAGTCTGTATATCCTTTTGTTCATTCATTTATATAGCTAATATTTATTGAGAACATGCTAGGCACTGAACTGTGTTTAGGAATACAAAGATAAATAGAAATAGTCCCAGCTCATGTAATAGCCTCTGGGAGAAAAAATGTGTAAACAAATTAAATACGATAAAAGTTATAATGAAAACTTAAAAAGGTATTGTGATGCTCCTTTGAGCTCTAATTAGAAAAAACTATGGAACGGTTTATATGATACCATTGGGTGTTAGAGTAATATCTAAATAATGAAGGATTCTTAATAGATAACTTGTACTATTTGAAAGTTGTCTGGTGTGATCAAAAGAAGCATAACAGTTTGGAATTAGACTTTCTAAAGTCCCAGGGTCCTGCTGCTTCCTAGCTATTTTGCCTCAGAGAACAACTTCCTTAGCTTCATTTTTGTCACCTGTGGAATTTAGAAGACTGATACCTCATATTTTAGAATTACATATAAGGAACCTTGCAAAGTACCTGAAAAGTAGTATATATTTTATAAATGTCACAGCATATTCTGACTACCTTTTAGAATCTGGCCATAAGTTTACTTTGTAGAAAAAATATAGAGAAGATTGTTGAAGAGACAAATATTCTCAAGGCTGGTGGGGAGATGACTGTGGGTCATGGATCTTTGAATATTTAAACTTAACTGTTTCTATCTGCACAAAAGATAAAGTAATAAGCAGCCAGGTTTCCCTAAGGAGATAGTCTTGTTCGTCTTTTAACCTTTGGTCATACCTTTTATATAGTTTTTAAAATAACTTAAAAATATTAGGAAACAATATAATCAATAAGTCACTATGCTGATACAAATTTAACTGATTATTTTAATGAATTATAATAAAACTTTCGTGTCTATTATGTTGTAGGGCCTTGATGTTTTAGAAATTATGAGAAACATTCATATATTTGTGTCCCGATACCTCTATAATCTCAACAATCAGGTGAGTAGGGTTTATAAATTTTTTTTTTTTTAATGTGGGTGGAGATATAGTGGGAAGGCTGAGGGGGCAAGGAATTGATTCTCATGGGTGAAATTAAATGAAACAAAAAATAATTGTTTTCGAGGCCTTATTTATTTTTTTTGCTTTGATTGTACAAGTTGAGTATCCTTTATTCTAAATGTTTAGGACAAGAAGTGTTTGGATTTCAGATTTTTTTTTTTGGATTTTGGAATATTTGTATCATACACCAGTTCAGCATCCCTAATCTGAAAATCCATAATCTGAAATCCTCCAGAGTCGTAAACTTCTGACCACCAACATGACGCTCAAAGGATCGCTCATTGGAACATTTTGGATTTCAGATTTTTGGATTAAGGATATTCACCTGTACTATCTTCTTGAATGCATTTTCAATGAAATTGTCTTTAATGAAATAGATTCTAAAATTTTCTTTGGATATCTGTCTGACCAGTGTTTGCTATGGGTTGTGTTGTTACTGAGCATAAATTTGTTTCATTGCAGATTTTTATTGAACGAACAAGCAATAACAAGCATTTGAATACTATTAATATTCGGCATATTGCTAATTCAATTCGAACACATGGCACGGGAATTATGAATACAACCGTAAGAACTTTTCTTTGGGGGTTGGGTGGGTAATAGACCCCTGTTTAATAGCTTGGAACGTGGTTTTCTCATAGAATATTCCGGCAAACATACACAACTAGTTTATATTTTACGTGAATTTCCATTTTTTTCTGGTTAGTAATTAAAATGTCTGGTCCTAAAATTGTGTTGGATGTGATGAGAACTGTGATACAAAGACACTTTAGGGTAGATAACCATCTCAGAGCCATCATTATAAAGAGCACTAGATATTTGAGGACATCAGCACATTAATATATGTGTGTGCACACATATATATATGTTTATCTGTGTTGATTCTGTGATCTCTGAAAGTTTACTTTTGAAAGTGAGCAATTGATAGTAATTTATTTAATGTTACTTATGCCCTTTTTGGGGCAGGGGTTACTAATTATTTGATGTCCATAAAAATAGGAACTTACTAAAAATTTATATTGAATCTTCTTAGAAATGGGCATTCACGGCCTGGTGTGGTGACTCACGCCTGTAATCCCAACACTTTGGGAGGCTGAGGCAGGAGGATCACCTGAGGTCGGGAGTTCGAGACGAGCCTGACCAACATGGAGAAACCCTGTCTCTACTAAAAATACAAAATTAGCCAGGCGTGGTGGCGGGCACCTGTAATCCCAGCTACTCAGGAGGCTGAGGCAGGAGAATTGCTTGAACCTCGGAGGTGGAGGTTGCAGTGAGCCGAGATAGGGCCATTGCATTCCAGCCTGGGCAGCAAGAGCGAAACTCCATCTCAAAAAAAAAAAAAAAAACCACGAAAAGGGCATTCACTTGAAGGAATCATTTGAACTCGTATGCTATTTTTCTGTCTGTGGAAAAACGTCTTTCAATTTACCTGGTTTTCAGAGCACAATTAATTTCTCCTTTAGGGCAGAAGACTGTGAATGCTTAAGTAGTACAGTATTATTAAACACATTTGGAGTAGGGAATTGGGAGAAAAAAAGTTGGGATCATTTTAGTATATGGTGGGAAGGCATTGAAGAGTTTGAGCCAATGAGTGATATGATTGGACCTCCATTATAGTGGTTATCAATATAGAAATGAAACATACAATTTTAAATTCCAAATAAGGAGTCATCCATGTAATGATCATGTTTGTACCTTTGAGGATAAATAAAACTGAACTTTTGAGCGTAAGCTCTTCCTTGAGTTTTGTCATCTATCAAATATTCATGTAACAGATAAGAATGTATTTTATGTGTCAGGGATTGTGCTGGGCACTAGTGTGAGAAAAAGACATTTCCTGCTTTCACAGTAATCACGGGGATATAGACGTTCATCAGTTAATTACACTAATGAATGTAGATTACTGATGTCTGTTGATGAAATGAGCATAGAAGGATAGAAATCAGAGGATGGCAGAATAGTTACCCACTATTAAGAGTGGAAAGGATTAAAAAAAAAAGACTGTTGAAGAGATTTTTTTAAAAAATGCAAAGGAACAGAAAAAACAAGGAGAATAGAATGTTTAAGCTGCAAGATAAGTTCTTGAAAATCATTCGTTTCCATAATTGAGTAAATGAATACTGAGTAAAAAGGGCACAAATTTGTCAAAATCATTAGTAATACTTGAGAGTTGGTGGGGGTTGGAAATGAATTTAGGGTTTTCATTTGTAGGTTGGGATTAATCTTATGCTATTTCTGCCTGAAGGTTGGAATTAATCTTACACTATTTCCATTTGTAGATTAGAATTAATTTTATTGTGCTATTTTGACTTTAATCTCAGCTCATACCTCACTTTCTTAGGATTTTCTGAGTCAAGGTCAGGGCTTTTTGTTATTTATTGTCAAAGCACACACATACTTAACATTTTGAGAAATAATTGCAGTAGAGATTTAATAATTTATGTAACAATACTTGTTTAAAATGTTTGTCACCTGTTCTAGAATATAAACTTCGTGAAGACAAGGACCATGTCTAGCATGGGAGAAGGCACGTTGCCTTGCATGTAAGAAGTGATCAGAAATATTTATGGATAGATAATTGAATGTGTGGTATCTTCAGGAAGGTTCAGAGAACACCATGTTTCTTACTTTAGTGTCATTCTAGACCTGTAGATGAGCAGTAAGTAATCTTATTGATGGAGGAGCATAGAAACTTCTCACTGGACCATGGCTTAAAAACTAGGGTCTTGAGTCTGGTTTGTGATTCTCACTACAGCCTTTAGTCCTATCATGAGAATATTTTCCACTTTTTTCTTTTCTTTTTTCTTTTTTAGTAAAAATATGTAAGAGGAACTTATAGAAATTTTTGTGACTTTGAGCAATAAAAAACATTATTGAAATATTTTCAGGTCCTATATGAAATAGACTTATAAATAGTACTTTATAGGTAGTACAAATAGATAATTGTTATATAGTAAAATTGATTTAAATTGATTTGAATTAATTTTTATATTAACTTTTTTCAACTTTTTGAATTTTAATTTCATAGGTTAATTTCACCTACCAGTTTTTGAAAAAGAAGTTCTATATATTTAGCCAATTTATGTATGATGAACACATCAAATCCAGATTGATTAAAGATATTCGATTTTTCAGGGAAATTAAGGACCAAAATGATCATAAGGTAGGCTACCTATTCTTTTTAAGGTGTTTGATTCAGCTGTTGAGTATATGGCAAATGTGTATGCTAAAATTCATTACTTAGATCTCTATTGGGGTTTTAGTTTTATTTTTCGTATAACTTCTTACTCTGCATTATCTGTAGGCTTAAGGTAAGGAAAAAATTAAATCATAAATGTAGCCAGGTGATACTTTTCTTTATTTTAAAATAATATAAAAGCAGGACATGCTTATTTTGAAACATTTAAGCAATACAGAGTGAATAAACTGAATATCCACCTTCATTTTTCTTTCCATTCCATTTTCTGGAGGCAGTCGCTAACAATGTAGTGTGAAGGCTTTCAGATATCTTTGTTATATAAACATGTATATTTACACACATATATTGCTTTTTGGTAGTAAAAATGGAGTAATAGTATACATAGCATTTTGCACTGTGCTCATCACATGTCACTAAGATCTGCTTCATCCCAAGAGTTGATAGGGATACATCCATGTATTATCATAACTTATTTAACCCTCTTCTGTTGACCAATATTTAGGTTTTTCTAATTTTTCATTCTTACAAACAATGTTACAGTGACATCTTTACACATCTATCTCTGTAAATACAGACTTTCTGAAAACTTCCTTAAGGAGAAATTTGTAGGACAAAAAATATGAACATTTAAAATTCTGGTACATATTGCCTAGCACTCCAAAAACAATTCACTATTGATATTCTCGCTGATAGTTCATACAAATGCTGCTGTTAGCCGGGTGCAGTGGCTCATTCCTGTAATCCAGCACTTTGAGAGGCCAAAGTAGGTGGATCACTTGAGCAAAGCATTTGAGACCAACCTGGGCAACATGGCGAAACCTCATCTCTACTAATAATACCAAAATTAGCTGGGTATGGTGGCACATGCCTGAAGTCCCAGATGCTTAGGAGGCTGAGTGTATTAATCTGTTCTCATGCTGCTATAAAGAAATATCTGTGACTGGGTAATTTATAAAGGAAAGAGGTTTAATTGACTCACAGTTCTGCATGGCTGGGGAGACCTCAGGAAACTTACAATCATGGCGGAAGGCACCTCTTCACAGGGTGACGGGAAAGAATGAGTGTCCAGTGAAGCGGGAAGCCCCTTATGACAACCATAAGATCTTGTGAGAACTGACTCACTATCATGAGAACAGGGTAGGGGAAACTGCCCCCATGATTCAGTTATCTCCATCTCATCCCTCTCAGGACATGTGGGGATTATGGGAACTACAATTCAAGATGAGATTTGGGTGGGGACAAAGGCAAGCTGTATCACTGAGGCACAAGAATCACTTGAACCTACGAGGCAGAAGTTGCAGTGAGTTGAGATCATGCCACTGCTCTCCAGCCTGGGTGACAGAGCAAGATTCTGTCTCAAAAAAAAAAGAATGCTATTGTCCTTTCACCTTCCAGGCTGTTTTCCCATAGTGAAGTGAAGAGTCTGTTGGATTAAGTGGCAGCAGGCGCATGTAGCCATGTGATTGGAGAACCAATAGGCTTAGATGGGTCCTATATTTGATTTGCCATATACGGAACTATTTTAATTACTTTTCTTAAGATTCACCTAGTAGTTCCAGCTCTCTTGTATAATGGCAGTTCTCTTTAGTGCCAGAGTAGCAAAATACTACTTTCTAGGATAATCTGATAAAATTACAGATTACGTTTGTCAGTAGAGGATTGTATTAACTCATTTTTTTTTTGAGACTGTGTCTTGCTCTGTCACTGAGGCTGGAGGGCAGTGACACAATATCGTCTCACTGCAGCCTCCGCCTCCTGGGTTCAAGAGATTCTCTTGCCTCAGCCCCCCGAGTAGCTGGGATTAAAGGTGCATGCCACCACACCCAGCTAAGTTTTTTATTTTTAGTAGAAACAGGGTTTCACCATGTTGGCCAGGCTGGTCTTGAACTCCTGACCTAGTGATCCGCCCGCCTCTGCCTCCCAAAGTGCTGGGATTACAGGCGTGAGCCACTGCGCCCAGCCCATTTTATTAGAGCAGAAATTCCTAGTATTTAGAGATAAATATTCATGCTGTTATGTAAGAATTGCTTTATTATTACAAAATGAATAATTTCCTAAATCTCCTAATCAACCAAGACCAAAAAGTAGTTTTTTTATTGGTGATGGTTACTAGAAATTTTAACCCAGCTGACGTGTGTTTATTGGGAAAGAGTATGTTTCTAAGTCCCTAATACCTATTCAGTCCGCAGAAACTTGGTCACATATCTGTGAACAGGTGTTTCTGGGAGAAATTGGTTTCTTTTTTCTGTTAGAGTTGTTGGGGGTTAGGAGACTAATTGTGGTAGGGAAATTAGGTTAGTGGCATTGATTATTAGTCACTTTAGCTAATGTCAAAAAGAAAAAAATTATATTGACCTTGAACATTGGTAGTCTGTGAATTTTTTATTAATGTTAATTTAATTAATTTTTAAGCACATTGAAATACAAAATTAAAAGGAGAGTGGTATTGGCATGGTTTATTTGGGAAGCATTTTGTGCTTTAGAAATCTTTATTAAAAGTAGCCTTAAAATTTTCTGTGTAGTATCCTTTTGATAGAGCAGAAAAATTCAATCGAGGCATCAGAAAACTTGGAATAACACCTGAGGGACAGAGCTACCTTGATCAATTCAGACAACTCATCAGCCAAATTGGTAAGTTATGATAAAAGTGTTAGGAAATCAAGTACAGATCCCTACAGTCTATCTCATATATTAACTGTTTCACACTAATAAGCAGCTCATGTGAAAGTCTGAGCTCAACTTTACTCCACTCATCTAATTTTTTTACCCCCAAAATTTGTAAGTACGATTAGACTGTTGCTGCAGAAATAATTGACAGACTATAGACTGATCATTTAAATAAAACCTCTTCAATTATAATAAAAGTTATTTAATAACAAAATCTCCAAGGTCATATTAATAATTGTAAACTGGTAAGTACTTATCGAATACCCGCTCTGTTCAAGGCACTGTTTTGGGCTTCTGAAAGGTTCACACAAGTTCCAGTCTAAATGTGAAGGTATAAAGTAATTACATGAAAAGTTATTAAGTTCTATGTTACACCATCTTACTTGTGCACATAATGTATTGTTCTTCTGCCCTTACAAGTGGAACTTGTCTTCTGATACATAGTACTTTATATTTAAAAGAACTACATTTCATAATAATCATAGCTTAACAAAACTTGATATTTATTTGAGCTTTTCACATACATTATCTTTATGTTCACAATAACCCTGTGAGATAGGCATGTAATTGTTTTAAAGATGAAAAAAGAGAAACTTAGAGAAAGAAGTAAGTCGTGTTTCTGGGACTTAAACCGGGGTTATTTAGCTATAAGTCCAAATGGATTTTATATTCTTGACAGTTTATATTAACACCAAACAGTAAAATCTTACTGACTATATTTTGGGAAAATTATGCCTTGTGAGATTGATTTATTCATTTATCAAGCATTTACTAAGCATCTGTTTTGCCACATTTTCTGTTAGGTGCTGGGAATACCAACCCCTTTGCTTTCAGGAGACTTTAGGTTTACCAGTGGGTAATATGTTATAAGCATTTCATTGTTGAGTAAAGTTTTATCAGTTAATCGATTTGCATATTAGGCATTTCTATTGTGTTTTAGTGCACGAACTTGGAGAATTTTACCTTTGTAAATGTTTTATTATAAACCATTCAATATGAAGTATTGTCAAATAAGTACTGTTTTCTTCAAGAGGACATTTAATATTAGGCGGCAAACTTACGGAGCAGTAGTTCTTAACCTTTTTTGAGAATCTGAGGAAAACTCCGGGATGATTCTTCCAGAACTAATGCCTATATGACATATGGGCACAATTTTGTATATAATATGCTAGAGTCCATGTGCTTAAAGCTTGGGTCTGTAGACCTCAGATTAAGAGCTATCCTTCTAGAGCAGTGTTACTTAAGTTTTATTTATTCACATAAGCAGAATTTTTGCATCCTGTTAATACTGTCTTCACTATTATTTGTTTCATGTTTTTATATTTTTTGAAAGTGTAATTTTTCCGTAGAAATAACAGTTGTTAAATTATAGTCCTTAAAATGCTAGTCATTTTTGCCCTAAATACATAATCACTAAGTGTTCTTTGGTGTGCCATCTAATGTCACCTTGATTACCACTAAGTTGCAGTCCACAGTTGGGGAATATTATCCTTTTTATTTTATTCCATCATTTTACTCTTTATTCTCTTCTTAGAAAATATAAATTCTTTTTTTTTTTTTTTGTGAGACAGAGTCTTGCTCTGTCACTCGGGCTGGAGTGCAGTGGCACGATCTCAGCTCACTGCAACCTCTGCCTCCCGGGTTCAAGCAGTTCTCCTGCCTCAGCCTCCTTAGTATCTGGGACTTCAGGTGCCCGCCACCACACCCTGCCAAGTTTTGTATGTTTAGTAGAGACAGGGTTTCACCATGTTGGCCAGGATGGTCTTGATCTCCTGACCTCGTGATCCATCCGCTTCTGCCTCCCAAAGTGCTGGGATTACAGGTGTGAGCCACTGTTCCTGGCCAATATAAATACTTTACCTCTGCTTATAAAACACCGTAATGGGCCGGGCGCGGTGGCTCACGCCTGTAACCACAGCACTTTGGGATGCCGAGGCGGGCGGATCACAAGGTCAGGAGATCGAGACCATCCTGGCTAACACGGTGAAACCTCGTCTCTACTAAGAATACAAAAATTAGCTGGACGCGGCAGCGTGTGCCTATAGTCCCAGCTGTTGCAGAGGCTGAGGCAGGAGAATGGCGTGAACCCGGGAGGCGGAGCTTTGCGGTGAGCTGAGATCGCGCCACTGCACTCCAGCCTGGGCGACAGAGCGAGCCTCTATCTCAAAAAACAAAACAAACAAAAAAAACCACTGTGTAATGTGCTTTTGAGTCTGATAAATACCTTGAGAAAAGGTGTAAAGAATCTGGGAGCAAAATGGAAAGCCTTTTTGACTAATAACTTGCCTGCTGAAATAATAATAATTAACATTTGTTGAGCATTTACTGTGTGCCATGGCTATTCTTAGTGCTTTATATGTTTTAACTCATGTGAATCTTACCACAACATTTATGAAATATTACTTTCCTTCATTCACTGCACGAGTATTCATTCAGTACAACAAATGTTTCTAGGTGCTGATGATATTTATGACAGTAAACAAAGTCTCTGTCCTTATTGAGCTTAATTTACCAGATGAGAAGACTGAGATACAGAGAGGTAACAAAACATAATTTGTAGGTCTCTTAGCTAACATGTGGGAGACCAGATTTGAACCCAGGTGGCCTGGCTTCAGAGCTTTTACTCTTAATTGCCGCTCTATACTAGGCATTCCTATTTTGCTTCATCAGACTTTGGTCTGATGGTTTGGAAGAAAACAATGAAACTAGACATTTGACTTTTTAAAGATGGACATTAAAAAAATTTTAATGTCATCTCTCATATTGGGATAGGCCTTAAAATAGATTCAATGTTAACTTTTATGTAGGGTTGTTGAAAACATCAGATAAGATAATGTATGTAAAATGTATATTACTCATGATTATGAAATGTTAACTCCTTTTTACATTTTCGTCTGTTCTTTCTTTCAAGTCATTTCAATAAAGTTTAATTATAAATTGAATTCCTGCTATTTGCCAGGACATGTTGGCTCTAGGGATGGAGCAGTGAAGACGACAAAGGCTGTACTCATGGATCTTGCACTCTAGGTGGGGGAAGATGCAGACAGAAAAATACATAGTATGTCAGTGATAAGTGCTGGGTAAGGAGATATAAGGGGCTGGGCAGTGCTAGTCAGTAATGTTCAGGGAAAGCAGGAGGTGACTTTTGAGCAGGGACCTAAATAAGGTTGGGGAGTAAGCCATGTGCATCTGGGGAAAGAGTCTACCAGACAGAGGCAACAGTAAGTGCAAAAGCCCTGATTCGTTTCACATTTTTGAAATATTCGTTTCACAATATTGAAATAGTCAGGGGCTGGAATGGAGTAAGCAGAGGTCTAAGTGGCAGGGCATGCTATTTGAACAGTAGCAAAGGGCAAGATCATGCAGGGCTGTTTTGACCACATAAAGAAATTGGGTTTTATTCTGAGGTGGAAAGCCATTACAGCATTTTCAGAAAAAGCATGATAAGGGGCCTGGCATGGTGGCTCACACCTGTAATCCCAGCACTTTGGGAGGCCGAGGTGGGTGGATCACCTCAGGTCAGGAGTTCGAGACCAGCCTGGCCAACATGGTGAAACCCCATCTCTACTTAAAAAAAACAAAAATTAGCCAGGCATGGGGGCGGATGCCTGTGATCCCAGCTACTTGGGAGGCTGAGGCAGGAGAATCGCTTGAACCCTGGAGGTGGAGGTTGCAGTGAGCTGAGATCACACCACTGTACTCCATCCTGGGTAACAGAGGGAGACTCTGTCTCAAAAAAAAAAAAAAAAGAAAAGAAAAAGCACTATACGTTCCAACTTAGTTTTTAAAAATTCACTAGCGGCTCTATAGATGTTATACAACACTGGGGAATGTGGCAGGATGCTAAAGGTGAAAGTAGGGAAATCAGGAGGCCAGTACATATTGCAGTGCTCCAGCCAAGAGATGGTGATGGATTGATTGGATAGGAGGATATCTGTGGAGGGGGTGAATGAAAAGTGGGTGGATTCTGGCTACATTTTCAAGGCAAAGTCAACATAATTTGCCCGGTAATTGGATTATAAAGTGTGAGAGAAAGGAGCCAGGGATGACTTCAAGACATTTGGCTTGAGCAACTGAAAGGATAGAATTGCCAGTTTCTGAGATAGGCAGAATTGGGGATAAAGATCCTGAGCTTGCACTGGACATATTAAATATAAAATTCTATTAGACATAAAGGTGTAGGCATTGGATGAAAAAACCTAGAGTTTAGAGGAGGAGTCCAGGCCATACATATAAATTTGGGAGGCATCAAATAAAGATTTCTTGATATCACTTCCAATTGTGTGTGTGTGGGAGATTGAATCTCATTGTGAGAGTGGAGAAATTATTGATATTATAATTTTAAGTTTGACCATTTTAATGTAGTCAGCATTTAATGATTTTAGTTTATCAAATGAAAGTAATGTTTATTTTTAAATATTTAATATAGTTGTATATAAGTATATATTTTGAGTGTAGGAATATGTGACAGTTTTACTTTTTATGGAACAAGAACTGAAGTAAAATATAGCAAAATATTTTGGTACTTAGGAGTAGAAACCTTGTAATTTACTACTGTATATAACTATATTCCTATTAGAATTTAGAGTTATTTATATAAATATCTGATTTTTTTGTGTGGTTTTTAAGGTAATGCTATGGGCTATGTACGAATGATAAGATCTGGTGGTCTTCATTGTAGCAGCAATGCCATTAGGTATGGATGCAAACATCATTTTTGCCTTGTTTATGCCATTTTAAAAATTATGTCCATTAAATATTTGTTACAAATGATATTGTAGATAAGGTGTTTGTTCTTGATATATTTTGAGATAAAATATGGAAGAAAACTATTCTAGATTTTTCTCAAATTTTAAGACTGCAGCAGACTTCTGAAAATATTTCTCTTAAGGTTATAGTTAATTTATCAATATGGTTTATGAATGCATGTAAAAATTACATGATTTTAAGGATTAAAATATTCATATCTAAAATTCAATTTGGACCTAAAGTGGTGATATGAATAATAACTGAAATGCACAGTTGTTTCCAAATACATAGTTGAAAATTTTAGTGTCCTGCAGTACCACTTTCATATCTGTGTCAATTGTACATATTTTACTTGACCTAATAAATGCCTTCCCAAATTCTCATGTAGATTTGTTCCTGATCTTGAAGATATTGTAAATTTTGAAGAACTGGTAAAAGAAGAAGGTCTTGCAGAAGAAACGTTAAAAGCAGCAAGGTAATCTAAATTTGGAGATATACAAAAGTGTGTTTATAAAAAACATTCTGAACAGAAGACTAGAGGGTAATATGTAATTTATATGCCACTGTTTTTATTATACAAAATTATGGTCTCAGTTTATGAAGTATAATTTTTAAGACTTCAGTAGTCTAAGACCTTTCCAGCTTCTAGAACATGCTGTCCAGTATTTCAGCCACTAGCCACACATGGCTCTTGAGCACCTAAAGTTTGGCTGATCCAAATTGAGATGTGCTCAAGTATAAAGTACATAACTAATCTTGAAGATTTAATATAAAAGGAGGAACACCAAATACCTCAATCATAAAATTCATTTCACCTGTTTTCTTTTTACTTTTTAAAATATTTCTCTTCACCAACAGTATTCTAGAATGCCGGTCCCTTCGTGTATGTAATCTATAGCAGCACTGTAGCCACTATCATATATGGCTGGTAAACACTTAAAATATGGCAAATGTGACTGGGGAATTGAAGTATACATTTTATCTTAATTTAAATTTAAATAGCTAATGTCTATCTTATTGAACAGTGCAGGACTTGAGTCAGTTGTGATATTGTAACATAAAACAGGAGGCATGCGGAATTGCTAAGAATATGTTTAGAAAACTGTATGTTTTATTCATACTTATAGCAGGTTATTGAATCAGGCATGAAGGGGCACCCCTGGGCAAAGGGGAGACAATTTGATAAAAAAGAATAATGATAGATAAAAATCTGTTGAATAAGAAAGAATCAATGAGTCATAATGATAAGAAGGATTATCAGAAGATCATAATGATAAGAGAATGAAAGTCATTTCTTTATGGAAGAATGCATGTTAAATTTAGGGGGGGGAATTATAACCATCACTCTAATACTTTAAATCAAGCAAGAATCCCCAGTGGTTTCTAAAAGACGAGGTGAAAAGTTTTTAGAGAACAGGATTCATTCAGTAATCATCTCATGAAATTGTTTATTAATTACAAAGGAGAAAACTGTCTTTACAGTGGAGAAATATATTCTACCTTGGCCAAGTGATCAAACTTAACATCACCAGTAATGGGGCAGACAGATGTTATATGGCCTCTTGATGCAATGCAATGGCAAGTACCTAGTTTGTATTCTTGCCAGAAGTGTTTATCCTGAATTTATTAGGAGGAAATGTCCTGAAAAATTTAGAATGTGAGCATTTTATGAAACATTTGGCATGGACAAAAAGTACAAGGAAATTGTTCTGGATTAGGAGAATAGAGAGACCTGATAATCATATGTAATGGGTGATACTTAATCGTATCCTAGATAAGGAAAGAAATAGCTGTAAAGGACATTTGAGGAATAACTGGGGGAGATTTGAACATGCATTGTATATTAGTTAATACTGTATTTTATTCTTGGGTATAACAGTGTTCTGTGGCTTTGTAGAAAAATGTTTTCATTCTTAATAGATTCATGCCAAAGCATTAATGGACTAAGTGATAAAAGGTCCACAACTTTCAAGTGTTTCAGAAAAATAGAGAAAACAGTTGTGTCAAAATGTTAACAGGTGGTGAATCTAGTTGAAGAGTATACAGATGTTCATTATACTAAATTTTAACTTTTTGATAGACTTGAAATTTTTTTAAAAAAGGAAGTATATGGGAAAATGCATGCATTTCTATGAGAATAAGGCCCCAGCACAAAAGCTTTGCTCTAGAATAGTCTGTTAGATAGCTTAGCTCTTTGCCAAATTACATAAGCCATGTGCAAAGTTAAGCTGTTTGAAGTCATGTGCCTGAAAATTGTTTAAATAGTTTGTGATGTGTATCTCAAAGGAAAGGATCAGACCTTTACCTTATGTTAAATGATGCCATTCACTCCAAAACTGTTGACTATTTGAAAAATATTTTGAAGCAATGTGAGGAAATCAGAGAGTAGGATATTGTCTTATAAGATCTCTAGGGTAAAGCTGATTGCTAATTGCAAGATCCAGATTGGTGCAAGGGAGTGGTTGATTGAAGTCAAGGAAATGTAGGGTCACGATAATGAATAGATTATCTGCATAGACAGTGGAGACCTGGAGCAGGCATCCTAATCCTGCGTAATTGTAGGATAGTGGTTAAAAGGTTAGTAGATGTCTGCTGTTAGGAAGAAGTAGTTGAGTATTTGGGTAGTTAGATATAGCTGGATTATGTGAGTCATAAAGGAAGATTTCTTCCTTACAGTGGTGGAGGAATAATTGAAAGTGGTAGTAGCTGTACCTGAGGGATGCAGGAGAAAAAGTAGCTGATGTTTTTGAAGATTGAGAGGGAAACTGAGTTCTTGAAAAGAGAGCCAAGTTTAAGTTGAGGTAAGGGAATGTAGGAGAAACATTAGAGATTTAAGGGGAAGAGGAAATTATTTACAATGAAGAGGAGTTCTACAGGCCTTACGGTGGGAAGAAGAAATACGGAACTATTATTTTAAGTCCCAAGATGTTCTAATAGTCTATTTTTGGGACTAAATTTACTAATATTGATCAGTTTTCTGTCCGTAAGAAAATGAGTTTATTCTGAACTCCAAGAAAATTTGTTTAGAAGTGTCTTATAGTGTTTCCTGCTTTTTGAATGTTCTTATGTAAATTATTGAGACATGGATTTTTTTTTCAAAGCCACGCTTCTTGTGAGAAAGGAACCAAATAATTTTTTGCTTTTTAGGCATTTGGATTCAGTCCTCAGTGATCACACACGAAATTCTGCTGAAGGCACAGAATATTTCAAAATGCTTGTAGATGTTTTTGCTCCAGAATTTCGAAGGCCAAAGAATATACATCTCCGAAATTTCTATATAATTGTTCCCCCTCTGGTGAGTATTTCCAGAACCTAAAATGAATTAAAAAAAAAAAAATAGGAACAAATAGATCTGGTTTCTTTGTAACATGAAATGCATACAGACTACACTATTAATTTCCTTGTTGTATATAAAACTAAATGTCATCTCCGTGAATGTGACATAGAATTTTTACTTGTTAGCTGTGCTGAAGGACACTTACTTATTGTTAGATTTTTTTTTTTTTTCTGAGATGGGGTCTTGCCCTGTCATCCAGGTTGGAGTGCGGTGGTGTGATCATGGCTTACTCAGGCTTGACCTCCTGGGCTCAAGCCAGCCTCCTGCCTCAGCCTCCCTAGTAGCTGGGACTACAGGTGTGCACCACCATGCCTAATTTTTGTAATTTTTTTTTCTTTTTAAGATACAGGGTCTCACTGTTACCCAAGCTGGTCTTGAACTCCTGGACTCAAGGAGTCCTCTTGCCTCGGCCTCCCAAAGTGCTGAGATTACAGGCATGAGCCACCACGTGTGGCCTAAGATAGATTCTTATTTTTTAAAATAATTACTGGAGAAATTTGAGTGTTTTTTAAGTTATATGAGTATATGCCATAGAATCTTTGGGCAGAATTATTAATATATAATCATTTTAAGTGCTTAATGTAGACTAGCTGTTATTATAGTTTTTTCTAACACATTTCTTAAAGCATATTGTTTCAAGATAACTTCTCTCTATTCAGTAGTAAATACTAACATGTAGACTAAATTTTTAATGCTTCTTAATGTGTTCTTGCTCTAACTCTGTAGTTGCTATCTAAAAGTAGTTCAAGTTATCAAAAATTGCATTATAAAAACAGCTGCTGGCCGGGCGCGGTGGCTCAAGCCTGTAATCCCAGCACTTTGGGAGGCCGAGACGGGTGGATCATGACGTCAGGAGATCGAGACCATCCTGGCTAACACGGTGAAACCGCATCTCTACTAAAAAATACACACACACACACACAAAACTAGCTGAGCGAGGTGGCGGGCGCCTGTAGTCCCAGCTACTCGGGAGGCTGAGGCAGGGGAACGGCGTGGACCCGGGAGGTGGAGCTTGCAGTGAGCTGAGATCCGGCCACTGCACTCCAGCCTGGGCTACAGAAGGAGACTCCGTCTCAAAAAAAAAACAAAACAAAACAACTGTTCCATTAGGGAAAATGGAGTTAAGAGTTTAAGAGGTATATATTAGTAATAAAGAGTGGTTTTCGCTTAAAGGTTCCTATAAGGTTTAAAAAAAATTGTAAGTAGATAGCTTTAAAAATCTAAATATCACCCAGCAGTTGAAGCTCTTTATTAAATTTAAATTTGATCAAGAATAGTGACTTTTCATATTACTGCCCAAGTTGTTAACATATCTTCTTACATATTAAAACCATTATTACCTATTGAAAGTAACTAATAGCCTGTAAACAGCTTTTTTCCATGAATTTTGTTTCTTTTGTTAATTTTCTATCATAATTGTATTTTAACTGTGATATAGCAAAAAATATTCATATTCATCTGATAAGAATCTTTTCATCTTAAGATGGTGTCAAACTGGAGGGGAGAGTGTCTTATTTGGTAATACTAGAGTTAACTTGGAGTGAGTTCTCACCATATTTTTTTAATTTGAAGGGCAGTGTACTCAAACCATTGTAGACAGCAGTGAACCCATTGGTAAGCTTAGGGAAAAGTCTAGAGTTTTACAAGGCAGTTGTTAGAAGTCGCTTAGTGATGGAGAAAACAAAGTGGATTAAGAGCACTACAAAGAAGTATAGAATCCTGTTCTTGTACTTGAGTTTGTAGTGTAGTTCCAGAAAAAAGACAAGCATAAATGAGATTTCTAAAAAAGGTTGAATTAATGATTGATGAAAAATTCACAAGTAGGTGATTAATTGCTGAATAAGTTCCACAGTCAAAAAAATGAAACTTGGTTTTGTTTCCAGTGTAGGCTTAGCACACTGTATATGATAATTAGTTTTTAAACACTTCTGCATTTACTCTTCTAGAGCTGTGCTATCCATGTGTAGTCATATGTGGCTACTTTAATTAAAATTTCATAAAATCATAAGGCAGGGTGAAAAAAATAAAAATACTTTTTTAAAAATTAAAAATTCAGCTTGTCAGTCACACTAGCCTCATTTCAAGTGTTCTGTGGCCGCTTGTGATTAGTGGCTTACTGTATGTACCGGATGGTGCAGATACACATTTCTGTCCCTGCCAACAGTGTTGCTCTAGACTCTGGACTCTAGATAGTAATCATTTGTTTAATCATAAGTACTTAATAACGCTGGTATATTGTAAGCTTCAGTAAATCTTTGTTGAATAAAAGATTAGATTAGATAAGGCATTTTGGAAGAGCTGAATTTTCAAGAGACGTACTGTTTTGAGGATTTCACACTTAAGAACATGAAAAGAAATAGTATTTTCAAATGAATTAGGTAGATGTAAGTAAGGACTGTCTTGCCTGTGTTTTTAAGAGTATTTGTGCTTTGAAGTAAAGCAGGCCTACTTTAATAACTCCAGGTTCACTTAATATATGACTTTGGGTGAGATAATCTCCCAACGCTCAGTGTCCTTCTCTGTAAAATGTGCATAATATTTTATAATGAAATATACAAGGCACTGTTCTTCGGTTAAGTAGTGATTGAGTGAGTGCCCATATTTAAAGGACTTGGAAAGGAGAGCCATGAAGATACACTTGTATAGATTGTATCTTCACCAAGAGAGCACCTAAGGCAAATGTTTCAGATGAAAAGGACTGGAACCTAGATTCTATTCTATTCTTTTTATAGTGATTCTATTTATAATTTTTGAAATGTCTGTTTTAGGAATTCTGAAGATTTTCTTAGTAAAATTGTTTTTCTGACATCTTGTTACATCTTTTTAGACCCTGAACTTTGTAGAACATTCCATTAGTTGCAAGGAAAAACTAAATAAAAAAAATAAAATTGGAGCTGCCTTTACTGATGATGGCTTTGCCATGGGTAAGTTTAATGGAATTGTTTTTCCATTAATTTTATGTTGACCTTGTAATGGATTCTTAGAAACATTTGCTTGAGAATAGGTCTATATGGTCTTTATAGATTTATTTTTCATGAGCATTTTTTACTATGTTTTTTAGCTGGAATATGTGATTGACAATACTTGTTTTCTATAGTTTATAACTTATTTAATGCCTTCTTAGTATTGCTAATCACTTGTCTACTTTGGCCTAATATTTAGGCTTTGTTTTTGTTGGGGTTGTACAGTTTTAACATCTTATATTTAGTTTCTCTGGTTTCCTTGTAGCTTCCTCAATTGCCATCTTTTTAGCAGTCGAATTGTTTTTGTTTTTTTCCTTTCTTTTTGAGGCAGGGTCTTGCTCTGTCAGCCTGACTGGAGTACAGTGGTGCAGTCATGGTTCACTGCAGGCTTGACCTCCTGGACCCAAGCGATCCTCCCACCTCAGCCTCCCAAGTATCTGGGACTATAGGCACGCATCGCCACATCTGGCTAATTAAAAAAATTTTTTTTTTTTTAAGAGACAGGAGTCTCACTATGTTGCCCAGGTTGGTCTTGAACTCCTGGGCTCAAGAAGTCCTCTAGCCTCAGCCTCCCAAAGTATTGGGATTATAGGCACAAGTCATGGAAATTTTTATTCTTTATCCTTACAGCTATATCGTTTCTCCAGGTGATTTATATGGCCATGGTAGTTATTTGTTTTCTTCTTAATTGACTTGTCTTTAGTTTGTTATACTTCTACATTGGTTTTAAGGAGGAATTAAGCCATTTTGTTAAACCTGTCGTTCATTTATGCTGTAGAATGTAACTTGAAAGGGGACAAACTTAAAATGCTAGGAATTACTACTCAAAATGTTTAGTGTTAGGAATTATTGGTGAAGGAGTAGAATATGACTTCTGTACTCACTGTAATTTAACCTTAGTTTTGCTGATGGCTGCAGGTGTGGCTTACATTCTAAAGCTTTTGGATCAGTACCGGGAGTTTGACTCACTTCACTGGTTCCAGTCTGTTAGAGAGAAATACCTGAAGGAGATCAGAGCAGTTGCTAAGCAACAGAATGTGCAGTCGGCCAGTCAAGATGAAAAACTCTTACAAACCATGAATCTCACTCAAAAGCGACTGGATGTCTATCTACAGGTAGAGGAGCCTAAGAGTCACATCTGCTTTGACTTACTGTTTGATATCCATGACTTCTTAATGTCTGAAAAGCAGAAGCCATATAGAAACCCCCATTTTCACAAGTGAAATGAATAGTGGCAAAAAGATTATATTTTAAAATGAATGCTATTTGGAAGCCATTTGACTCAGATCTTAAAAACGGGCGGGTTACTTATTTCAGTTTCTGTATTTGTGATTTCCACTAGAGCTTTTAAAAATAATAAGAGGCATAAAAATGCATATATTTTTGGTGTTTTGCCATAATAAGTATTTTTGGTTTTTATTTCAAATTTTTTTAATTTACCTTAGGAATTTGAATTGCTATATTTCTCACTGAGCAGTGCAAGAATTTTCTTCAGAGCAGACAAGACTGCGGCTGAAGAAAACCAAGAAAAGAAAGAGAAGGAAGGTCAGTGAGTGGTTTACATTTGGAAAGACCAATAAATGTCTTGAGTAATAGATAGTAATGTACCATTTTATTTGGTCAGACATCCAGCTTCTTTGTCCTTTTGGAAAATAACACAGACCTAGCAAGAAGTCTTTAAAAAAAGTAAAGCCTATATAGATCTTGTGTGAAATTGAAAAGGAATTTATATAGTTTATGCATTTCACGCTTGGTAACCCTTTAAGCCCTTGTTCAGGATCATCTGCTTTTAATTTAAATATACTTTTCACAAGTTTGGTTTTTCTTTCATGGCCCAAACTGTATTAGATTTGAAGGAACAAATTAGAGGAGGACAGCTAAATGTTGCTGAAGGCAGAGCTGCTGCTGACTGATGTTGACTGAATGAGATGGGACAGATGATTAAAGAAGTATAAAATCATAGGGGCTATTTAGTTGTAGTAAATAGCATTCTGCCTTCTTTCATAGTCAGGCCCTGGAGACTCAGGCAGTATAACCATAATAACTGATAGTGATTTCAGTGAACTTCAGTCATTAAGGAAAGGATTCTGTCCATTGTATTCTGTGTAGGATGGTGGAAAGGAATCTATACTTTTTAAGGCATAAGAGCATTGCTCAGTGTTTCATATATAACGTCCCCATGTTATATTTCTCTCTGATTTGAAATTTAGGAATAATCATCTTCTCTGAGGAACAGATGTTTCCCTTTTTCTGTCATGGAAATCGTATAGCGTACATTTCTCTTTGCTTGGAGGATCAATAGTAGATACAGCAACTAGTTGACCGTTATAATTTTCATGTTTACTAGTCTCCTTTTTGTCTTGTTTCATGAAGTTTTCATAAATCAAGATAAAAAGCTCTTCATAAAACAAGATGTTTTTGTTAATCTTATGTTAATTTTTAAAATATACCTTTTTTCTTTATATATATAGAGGTGACTCATTTGGATAGACCACTTAGATGAACTACCTTATTTCTTGACATTGTTGCATAAATTAAATATTACTTACTAATATTACTTATTAGGTGCGTATCCAGGCATTTTTTTGAATCTAGACTAAATAAACATGCTTGAAAAAATTGTTTCAGCTTATTAATCCGGAAGATATTCAGTATTAAATGAAAATTTATACATACTACATTTGTGTTCATTTTCAAGGATAAATTAGCAAAGCCATTTGAAAGAATTTGAGTCAATATAAATTATGAAGAAACTCAGTGATTGCCTCAGTTCTACTCATGTGTTTCATGATGCCAGACCTTTTCCCCAGCCCATGTGACTGGGAAAACTGTGAGTCGATTGGACATTTGCTTTCAGGCTAAAGCATTAAAACAAAACAAACAGCCCTTTAGTCTTATGGCAGTGGGATTTCTTGCTTTGGCCTGTTCCTCTTAAGGAACTCTCCGGGGTTGCAGTTGTTATATATCACTCACATCACTGTTCTAAGACTATTTCAGCTTGCTCAGAGATATAGTCAGAGTTTCTGAATACATTACTCAAACAGTCTTTGTCTGTTAATGAAATATGAACACATGACATTTTGCACAAAAAGCCAGGAATTCATTCTGTCAAAAACAGTGAAAAGCTGCTTCATTTAAAATTATTTTAAGAAATAATATGTATTACATATAATTTATTATAATAAGTTATAAATACAAATGGAAAGTTATTCATTCTGGATAGTTTTGATATGTGAGTTTGCAGCCATATTCCTACCAGGAATGACAACATACTATAATGGTCCTTTCTTGGCCCAGCTAGAGGAACTGGCGTGAGGGCAGCAGGCCTTTCTTAGACCAGCAATGTCAAGATTCCTCAGGACAAAAGAGCCCATGTGGTTTGAAACCCCACCCCAATGCAGTTCTGAACTCCCTCAACTCCACTTTCATTAAAAACCAGTGGAAACAATTGCAGTGTTTAGCCTAGATTTAAAAAAATTTTTAAATATAAACAAGGTATAATTTGTGATGTTAGAGAAACATTTGATGGATGCAACTGTAATTTGAAGTTTGGCAATATAGCTCTTCCCAAATTTTTTTTACTTCTTAATTTATTGTTTAAAAGTGAACATAAATATCCATTATTATCTTCACTCATGCTTTCAGAAGAAACTAAAACAAGCAACGGAGACCTGTCCGACAGCGCTGCGTCTGCTGATCCTGTTGTGAAATGATACCGATGGTATTCACTGCACATATGATGAAATCGTCAGAATTGTTAAAACAGTGGAATGGATAAACTATTGATGAATTGTTTCCTTGGTCACATCTCTGGAAAATAGATGTTACAACTCTTAAAGGCAGTGCTTTAAAGTGAAGTCCTTTCTGTTTCCAAAGGCTCTACTTTCAAAGGTTGAGAATGAGATTTTAAAATTGGATTTTTGCCTGGACTTGAGGGTAGAAGATGTTTCTATTTGATGTGAAGTTATAAAAGGGCAAATCCAGATTCATAAACTATCACCTCGGATTTCTTGTAATCTCCATGTTTGTAATTTGTATTTGCATAGATCTTTGATCTGTAGTTATTTCAAGTCATGGGAAATTCAATGCATATACTATATACAGCCAGTAAATACATACTTAACAAAAGGAATGAGCCTGAAATTCATGAAGAATACATATCAATATTCTCATAAAAGGAATATATGAAGATGGCTTTGATACTAGAGGTGAGGCACAAGTGTTTTATGTACTCTCACTGTACAGTATAACTGATGATCATTCTTTCATTGTTAATTTCATGTGACTCACAAGAGCTGCTGATGTCTTTGATGAGACATTTTATAACTAGTTTACATTGCTTTGAGAACATTTAACCTCCAACAGCTGCTTTAAATTTAAGATTTACTTAGTACTCAGAAAATTCAGATAAAGCCATAGAGTCCTGTTTGAAGTTTCACTTCTATTTTGGTTGAAGGCATGATGTATGATGTCAGAAAAAAAATTGAATGAATTATTTCTACATCCAAACTCAGGTTTCTTCTACATTAGATTGAATTGAAATTTTGGTGATGGTTTGGGTAGACTTTTTTTTTTATATCAAGTATAATTTAAGACAACAGATTAATAATTACACTGTTCAGGCTTTTAAAAAAAATACCACTGTGAGAATAAACAGCCAGTAAGATACATCACTTACTGATTTTAAAAGTACAGAAAGATTTGAGTAAATTTCGTACCCAGCAAGTGTTAGTTTTATTTTTTGTAAAGGTATGTAAGTTATTAGTTAAATGGTTAATCATGGCCTTTTAAAAATATAATAAAGTGATACCTTTACAATGAAGACAAAAGTTTAAAACTTTCTAATACAAACATCATTTTGGGAAATGCTTGATTTTTTTCTATTGCATTTGTCTGCGAAACATTTCTTTGGATAAATCCTGCAAATGCTTCTAACGTTATTCTTTGATTCCAGCTTTTAGAATGGATGTACAATGCCCTGTTTGTACTTACTGGTTAGGGTCAGGGTAACTTGCCAGCCCAGGATAAATACTTTAATTGTTAAAAGTCAGAAGAGACAGAATATGTAGGAAATGTTTTTTGTTTATTATGTAAACATGGCTTACAGAATTATGAACAGTGGATAGATTAAAGGCATTTAATATTTGTAATCCATAATAACTGTAGAAATGGCCCTAAAGCATGCTGCATACTTAATAATTTATATTTTCATTATTATAAGTTTATATTAATGATCTTGCATTTGATTATATCAAATTCGTCATCATTTTATAGCAACAGTATTGTTTTCTCTGTTTTTCTTCTCTAACTTCTCTGAAATCATCTCCTATTAAGGGATAGAAATTGTTACTAGAAGAGAATCACATGTTCTCTGGTCATTATCCCTACACGTGTAAATTAATTATTTTATCAATACTAGATAGAGTTCACATGCTGACTCCCTGGATACCTACAATTAAGAAGAAAATGACAGACAACTATTTCTCCTTTAGGTTAAAATAATGTCACTGCAATCTGGATAAATTATAAGTTAACGTATTTGAAATAAGATCTTGGAAACAAGAATTTAAATGGTGTCAAACTGCAGAGCAACAGGGCTTCAGTATATTCACACCTAATACGTTCATATGTACATTTCGATGATGGTTTTTCTTGATAACATATTAACATTGATTTTATTTTTTCAGACATACTGTTAATTTAAAAATAAATGTGAGCGTTTGTTTTAAGTTCACAGAAAACTTAATGATAATTCAGATTCTCAGGAATTAAGGACTAACCATAACATTGTCAGTTCTAATTACATTTTGTAAAAGATGGCAAGTTTGTTACCTCACTTGAGTGGGGTTTCCCTCTTCCCCCAATTCTAAGAGAATATAATGTGTATACTAAAACATTAATAAACATAATTTTGAAAATTTCCTTCCCCTGGATGTTTATGTTCAAAATTGAATGTCATAAACCAGTAGTTCTTAATATTAACCTTTTTGGGGTCCCACTTAATTGAATGAAATGAAATCTATGGAATATTTTTTTAAAAAATGCATGCACATAGGTAAAAAATTTGAAGTATAAAATTGGCTTCTGTCAATGTATTCCAGGTGAAAGGTATTTTCCTTTCCTTTATACATTTTTGATCTTTCCAGAGCTTTTTCCCAATAAAAAGAACCAATATGAAGTTACTTTAAATCCTAATCCTGGAAAGGGATTATCAGTATGCAGTGTTTAATGTGAGTAATAGCTATAGTGCTATTTGCAAACCTGAGTTGAACTAAAACAACACAGCAGTCTCCCCTTACCCGTGTTTTACTTTCTAGTTTCAGTTACCTGTGGTCAGCTGTGGTCTGAAAATATTAAATGGAAAATTCCAGAAACAATAAGTTTCAACTTGTGTATTATTCTGGGTAGCATGATGAAATCTTGTGCTGTCCTACTCCATCCCGCCTGGGACGTAAGTCACCCCTTTGCCCAGCATCTTCATGCTGTATGTGCTACCTGCCCATGAATCACTTGGTAGCTAGGTTGTCAAATTATTAGTGTTTGTCTTCCAGTAAGCCTTATTTTACTTAATAATGGCCCCAACGTGCAAGAGTAGTGATGCTGGCAATTCAGATATGCTGTAAGAGAAGCCTGAAATTGCATACTTTAAGTGAAAACATGAAAGTTCTCGGGAAAGAAATCATACGTGGGGTGGCTAAGATCTGTGGTAAGAATGAATCTTCTATCAGTGGCATTGGTAACAGTATTTGTTACAGTTGTTCTGTTTCATCATTAGTTATTGTTACTGCGTCTCTTACTGCGCCTAACTTATAAATTAAACTTTATCATAGGTATGTGTGTATAGGAAAAAACACAGTATATATATGGTTAGATACCATCTGCAGTTTCAGGCATGCACTGGGGGTCTTGGTGTATCCCTCTCAGATAAGCAGGGACTACAGTAATAACAACAGAGCCTTCAAAATATTACACTGGAGATGAGATACAATCCTGTTAAATACTACCCTGCAGAAATCATTCTTGGTAAAGTTAAGTCTGGTTGCTGTTCCTTTTTTCATCTGAGGCAGTAAATTTGTAAGATTGTGGGAAAGATGAGAAAATATTGGATACTTCACGTTGCTCTTTTATGCTGAGTCTGCTAAATGTAAAAGGTAGACTTTAATTGATTTTAATAATTGTAACAGGGTTTTCTTTCCAGCTTCACATTGCAGACATTTCAGAAGATGACATTCCTTTTTTAAGTGAAGTTTTAATGCCACATATTTTTTTTTTTTAACAAAGGCTTTTAGATGTTCGGAATACTTTTAATAGGCTGTCAAAGATGTGAAGTTTAAAAAGGGAATCCAGAATAAGTGGAAATCTGTAGAGATTAAGCAAAGGCAGTGAACTCGAGATGGTGATGGCAAAGTTAAGAGTTCAGCTTATAACACAGGTCAGCATATATATATAATGTATAAGAAAAGTTGGGCAAGTAAGTATTTTCTTTTCAGTAGTTCGGCTCCTCTTTACCACTCAGTTTACCTGATACCTCCATTTCCCATTAGTGGAGATATACTCAGGAATGTAGATGAAATTTATTCAGTCGATGCAGATCTGATACCATAATTCTTGGATCATCTCTACGGACTATAAATACATTCTGTAGGTAAGAGCTACATGTAGTCAACCATTCTTTAATAATGCCCTCATTTAATGGGGGAAGGAGTTACCTTTTATACCTAGAAGCACTTGTCTTTATCAAATTAGTATTAAAGTATTTAATCTTTTCAGAATCTGTACAAAAGGTAGCAAAGTATTAAGGATATTATGCTTTAGGTTGATACTGCTACTGAATTGTCAAGAGCTTAATGTATTGAGAAATATTTGGATTGCTTTGTATCTGGTTCTCTCTTGAGGTCTTCTGTATATAGCACAGAGTGTTTAGAAGCATCGACTCTGGAGCCAGAACAATTTGAATCCCGATTTCCTGCTTAGGAACAAATTCCTTAATATCTCTGTGCTTCATTTCCTTGTGCAAAAGATGGGATGATAATGACAGTATGCAGCTTATAGGTTGAGGATTAAATTTGCATAAAACACTTTATATATTAGGAAACAGTAAATATTAGCTACTATTTGTATATACTATAAACGTTAGTTCTTACTATATAACTTATTTGTACTCTTATAGGTAGAAATAAACTTGGCATATAAGCATTAGGTGTTACTACTATTTTAGGTGGAACGATTGAAACTAAAGTCTGTATTTGACTTTAAGTGGGTGTCTAAAGAACCATTCCTTGTTAAGTGGCTCAGGCAGATGTAGACAAGGTAAGGAAGGCCCTGTTCTTCCCTAAAGAAAGTAGTCTGATGAGTATGTGAGGCTAAATCAGCCTGGGAAGTGGGAATTGGTAAGAATAGCTGGCTTCTAAAAAGGTCCCATTTCCTCTCTTCCCGCCTTTCATTTACCATGGCACTTGTTAATCTTTCAGAGCACTTTAATGTGTATTAATACAATTTCAGTAAGTGGAGAAAAGGGGCAAATCATCCACTAGTTCTAAGTTTTAAAATTATTTAAAAATATTCAATGCATACAAGGTATATAATATGTATTATACTATTTGAAGAATGAAAATAAAGCACTTGGAAAGAAGCTACCATATCCTTTAAGAACACCTCGCTCCTGCAGTTTCTGCCCGAGGAAACCATGTGAGGGTTTGGTGTTAACCATTCTCTTGCTCTTCCCTTGTTTTACAACTGATTGTATATTCCTAACTATTGATAATATTGTTATGTTTCAGTTTTTAAACTAAATATAAATGGGATATTATATGCTTTTGTAACTTTTTCAGTATTATTTTAAAAATTCATCCACGTTGATGCATATAGCTGTAGTTGAGCATTTCATTACGTGAATATAGCTATCTTCTGTCGATGACATCTGGGTGGTTTTCACTTTTGGGATATTGTAAACAACGATGCTGTAATCATTATTGAACGTGTCCCTGGGTCCAGGTGTTTCGAGTTCCTCTGGGCTGTGTACCTCCAAGTAAAACTGCTAGGTAGTAGGGCAGGTGCCCTTTCAATGTACTGGACAGAATGCCATACTGTTGTTTCATCCCAGCAGCAGAGGAGATTCCCCTTTGCTCCATTTCTGCCAACAGCTGAATTTTTGCAGTCTGCTGAATATAAAATGTTTCTGTGGTTTTAATTTGCATTTTCCTGATTACTATAAGGAGTCTGTTTATGAGCACTTTGTCTTTTTTAATGTATGAAATGCCTTCATGACTTTTTTTCAATTTATCTTTCTACCTGTAGGAGTATTTTATATATTCTGGATGCTAATTTTTTGTTGGTCTTGTGTGCTTGCTAGTAGCTTTGGTTTAGTTGTGTGTTTTCATTCTCTGTGGTGGTTTTTGATGAAGTTAGTTTTAGTGGACTGAATTTCAGTCTTTTTATTTTTCCCTAATGATGCGCATGCTTTGTGTCTTATTTAAGCCGTGCAGTCTTTTAAAATGGTGGATTAATAAAACAACTTTTGTACTCCAAAATTAGGTTAACATCATAGGATCCATTTGAAATGTATACAGAAATGTATCGTGTTTCAGTTTTCAAACTAATAATTGTTTAGGACTTGAGTGAGATTATACCCCTCTCCCAAAAAAGTCTAAGCAAGAAAAAAAAAAAAAACGTTCAGGGGACTGTGGCTCTTGCAGTCTGTCAGAGAACCAGTTGATCTAAAGCAGGTATGTCATACAAATTTGTAACGCATTAGTGAACAATGAATTAATAATTTTATGGTGCATAATTTCATACTGGCTTAGACTGACTCACTATGTCTTTTATGGTGTATACATTTCAAATGGATCCTATGATATTAACCTAATTTTGGATTACAAAAGTTATTTTATTAATCCAACATTTTAAAAGCAACACCTTTAAAAATTTTAGCAATGGGATCACATATTCTACTCATGTTGACTGGAAGTATTTTTTGATACTATATCCCCTCTGTGATTTCATTATGCCCTAGTTTTTGGGAAATTAAATGTTAAAGTTATGGAGCTGACTTTAGTTTTCTTCCAGGGATGTTCCAGAAGATAACAACAAACAAAAGAAAGAAACAGAATAATTTTTATTGCTAGGTTAATTCATTACAAAGATAATAATAGTCTGTTGAACTTAGTTACAGTTAAACACACTGTACCAATTCAAAATCATTATACTAGTTTCATAGAGAGGAGGGATGGGGGAGTGGGCTGGGGTTCCAGGAATTGGAAGTATCAGGGTGGAAATAGGAACTTTATACCAAGCCCCATGACCAGCTGTGCTTCAAGTGAGTTTTAAAATTAATTGGTCCCTTCCTTGAGGAGGGTCTGGCTCAGAAGAAACAGGAACTGGTAGAGCTGCACCCTGTCCACAGTGATCCACTACTAAAAGTACTCATACCTAGGAGGACCTTAAACTTCTGAATGCTGGTTCAGTTAGGCTCCACTGTAAAATCAAACATCTTTTGTGGTATTCATTTTTTTATTGCTTGATGTCTGGAACAGTTATTGGAACTAGACCTGCATCACGCATCTCTACTAGTGCTTGGGCCTCAAAGCAGTGCTCATCACCTAACTGCACAAAGAAATGCTATTAGGTCCAATTATGAGATAAGCTGAATTATAAATACACAATTTTCAGAACGACAGGCACTTAAAGCTCATTAAGTAAAATACAAAAATAGATTATATTAATAGGAAATATTTAGTGTTCATCAAATTGTAAATCTAGGCTTTTGCCATTTTTTAAAAAGGATACTGGCAACTGAAAAGAGATGACATTCATATGAACAATGCATTTTTCAAACTTTTGTTCTGAGCGCTGAACAATCTTAAGAAATCTTAGCGCGATCTAAGAAAAAAGACTTACCACAAAGCACCTAAAATAACATTTGT